AGATTACTCATGCGACAAATGCGCAAAGAAATTTGGACATAAGAATGTTCTGCTTGTACATCAAAAGACAGTACATGAAAGTCACAGAGATTACGCATGTGACAAATGCGCAAAGAAATTTGGATATAAGAATGTTCTGCTTGTACATCAAAAGACAGTACATGAAGGTCGCAAAGATTTCACATGTGATAGGTGTGAGCTAGCATTCGGACAAAAACCGCATTTGCTTCATCACCAAAGGTCGGTACACGAAGGTCGCAAAGATTTCGCATGCGACAAATGCGAGAAGAAGTTTGGACGAAAATCTAATTTGCTAATGCACATAACAACTTTCCACGAAGGTCGCAAAGATTATGATTGCGACAATTGTGGAAAGAAATTTGGACAAAAAGGGCATCTGCTTATCCACCAAAAGACAGTCCACGAAGGACGCAAAGATTTTGCATGTGATAAGTGCGAGAAGAAATTTGGAGAAAAATCGAATTTTTTAAAGCACCAAAGGTCAGTCCACGAAGGTCGGAGAGATTACGCATGCGACAAGTGCGAGAAGAAATTTGGGCAATCAAGCAATTTGATCAAACATCAAAACATAGTCCATGAAGGTCGGAAAGATTACGCATGTGACAAGTGCGACTGGAAATTTGGAGAAAAAAGGACTATGATTCAGCACCAAAAAACAGTCCACGAAGGCCGAAAAGATTTTGCATGCAACGAATGCAAGAAGAAATTTAAACATAAACATCATATACTTCTGCACCAAAGGACAGTCCACGAAGGTCGCAAGGATTATACGTGCGATAAATGCGAGAAAAAATTTGGGAAAAAGTGCACAATGATTCGGCACCAAATGATAAACCACGAAGGTCGTAAAAATTTCTCACGCAACAAGTGCGGAAAAAAGTTTGAGCAAAACACGGATTGCTTCAGACACCAAGAGACAATTCACGAAGGTGGTAAAGATTACCCATTCGACAAGGACCAGAAGAAATCGTCTCACAAACCGCATCTGCTTTTGCACCAAATAATAGCCCACGAAGATGTCATAGATTTCGCATGCGACAAATGCGATAAGAAATTTGGCCTTCGATTCACTTTGATCAGACACCGAAAAAAAGTACACAATGATTGTGAAGATATGAACGCAATCATTGAATCTCGTACTCAGAATCACTTTTTCGAGTTAATTTAAGAATATCTTTAATCAAGAAATGTTGTCTTACGTTATATCATTCGATTTTTTAATGTGACCAAGCTAATTTCATTCTACTTGTACATATTTTATGTATTTAACAATTTAACGTATACATTTATTCGTGAATAAACTTTTAATTGACTTTATTTTATATCAATTTGTATTAAAATTTTAATTAATTTTTAACAAGACTTCAATGAACAATCATCAACGTCCACTACGTTTGTCAAACGACAAAAATTTTTTCAATCGCAATTTCAACCTCGAATTTCTTCAATGATTCGTCGAATTACTTTTGTGCATATCTTCATTATGGCACACGCGTCGTCATCTGCATCGTTGCGGACGACATCGGGATCACGTCGATGCGGCAGCCAACGACTCACATCGACGCGTCGAGTAAACACGCGTTTCCCAATACACGTTGGGAAAGTCTCGCGCGAATAAATCCGTTTCCTCGCATAAACAAAGTAATCGTCGCGATGAGTTTATAAGATCGTTAATTATTCTCCTCGTCGCCGCGAGGAAGAGTATCTCATAATATTATTACGAGTTTATCTCGCGCGAAAATTTCGCGGTTTCTCGAGAAACACACCGCACGCGTCTACATTCGCAAGGATACCATACTACTGGCTGGTGAAAATATTTTGTCGAAGCTCGTTTCTAATGGAGCGCGCGAAAAAACAATTTTTATTAATATTGCCTCGAGCTCTTTCACTCTCTGTCTTTTCGCTGCTGCTGATGTTCGCCCGAGCGATTGTCAAAATATTTGCCGCGGGCGAAGCTCTGCATACGTCTCTATATACACTGGGGGGAAATTTATCAAAACGCGATGTGCACGCGCTAAACTGCACACACACACACACACACAGACAGCGTCATGGATCGTTTAGAGATTCTTAGCCAATTTGGCTTTTCGCGTACGCGATAGTTTCAAAGTCGAAACAATTGCCAATCCCGCGCGCTGTTTTATAAAAAGCCACCCCTCTGGGTTAGCGGAGGTGGCTCGCGATTCACGACGCGTAATAATCGGGGGTACATTCCGCTGTCCGATCGCCGCGCAAAAAAAAAGGCTAGAAAAGAACAGAGTGACGAAATATCGACGCGAGAACGTCACGTCGTACGGGACAAGCGTATACGACTATACCACTAAATATTTAAAGATTTGAAAAACATTTTCGGTGGCTCGTTCGTCTCTATATACGTCCGAGTTTTCTGTATTTTTAGCGCGGAGCACACACAATATTCGGTTTATATGTGCTACCGTGTGTATATTATGTAGAAGATCGAAAATAGAAGAAATCGGCTTTTTTTTGCACAGCTCCTCTCCGCGCTTAGACGATCGTTTGCTTATATATGGTAGGCCAAAAATGACTATCTTTCATAATAGAGAATTAGAGAGAGAGAGAGAGAGAAAAAACAAAACAAAATATTTATACCCGCGTAAATATCCGATCGTCGCGAAGAATGCGGACCGGTAAAATAACAGGGAAAAATCGGTTAGCTCAATTATCCACCGCATATGCACGTATTATTCGGCTCGCGCCAAGTCGCGATAATTATATTCTGGCAAATGAAAATTAAGACGAGTTCGCGTATAACGACACGCGTCCAATTAGATTTTCTCACTCTCTCTCTCTCGGTTGTATATATCTATACGCGTAATTGAAAAAGTTGCGCAATGTGTGAGCGCATAGCAGCAGCACACAACCCCTCTCGCGCCGCGCAATATTATCGTACTCGCATTCCTCGCGAGTAAACAAAACGTGAATCACTGCCTGTGCAAGGGTTTGAATGCCGCGCTCGGGCATACATATGTATGTAAGTACGTGTACGTGTGTGTATAAACGGTGTAGGCGTATTTTTAGCCGGCGAGCGATCGTTAGAAAACGGCTCGACGGTATAGCAGCAGCGGCAGCGGCGGCGGAACGGGTATACTATAATAATGCATGCAGCTATTATATAGAATCTCTTCTTTTTTTTTTTTGGTCGACGACGAAGCAGAAATTCCTATTACATTAAATGCCCGCAATCGTGTCAATGCCTCGCGCTCGTCGTCGCTGCCACGTAATAATATATGTGTCGGTATTGTATATATAAGTTATATAGCGCCAGTGGCGAGCTGTGCGGCTCTTTAAAAAATATACAAAATTCTGGAGAGAGAGAGCTTGGATGATATTGCGCGCGGGTGGGCTATTTTTATGTGTACCAGGCATACTACTCGAGTCGTCGTCGCTATTTTACACCCGCGACGTTGACATAATACAAAACGTAACGTTATTAACTAGCGTATGGGATATATACGGGCGGAAAACGCGAAAATAGTCGTAACGCAATCCAATTCCGGCGATACACGTACTTATATATCGATTGAATGCACGAAATCGTCGAATCGAAGGGATGTAACTTCGACGTCGACGATCTGCTCCCGAGACCTTGAAACGTTTATATACATCGTCGTATATACGAGTGGCACCGAATCTTACATCTGCGAAGGGAAAAAAAAGGGACTCGACGTGTGTGTGTGCATCTGTGTGTATATGGATGAAAAGTTATGCCAAAATTGAGTGAGTCTAGTCTCTTCAAGGCTCCCCCGTCGTCGTCGTCGTAGTCTTTAGTCGTAGTCTTTTAGTCGGTAGCTCTCTTTCTCGCTCTACTCGAGAAAGAGAGAGAGAGAGAGAGAGAGAGAGAGATGTGTGTTGGCCCGGTTTATCTCACAAGCTGATCCGAAAATAATCGCGGTAGATACGAGAACGCTCGCGAAAAAGAGAGAAGAGAAGAGAGAAAACCTTTACTACTTTTGTAATATACCTAATGCGATGCGTATGTTTTTTTTTTTTTTTTTTTATAATCAACGGTACGAATTCCGAGTGGTTTTTAAATTGGGTAAAGAAAAGTAGAAAGATGAAGAAAAGGTGTACGCAATGCACACGTCAGATCGACGTTGACATTTGTGTCAAATGACTCGACGATCACAAAAATACATTAATCGCATATAAGCGAATGAATCGTACGAATGAAAATTTGACTGATGTAACAATGTATACGACACGATATGTCACGACTGAATCATCATCATCGTCGACAAATCGTCACGCTAACGAATCGATTAATCGTTCTAATTTTCTTAGCTTTTTTTTGTGTTTCTATATGTTTCTATAACGACACACGTACGCACACGCGAGATAAGCTATTTTAATACGGCACTTACGCACGTAATGGACGAGAAAGAAATTTTCTTATTTGGAAACCGCGAGCTTGCGCGAGAGCTCGTCGCAATCGTAAATCAAAGATTTCTTGAAGCGTCTTCGATGCCGCTCGCGAACGAATCGCACACTGCCCTTCGTTTCGTTGCATCCAAAACCCAAGGATTCGCGGAATGAAGCTGTGGTAAGTCGCGGATGGTATATAGTGGCCTCGCTGCGATTTCCGAGCGAGTGTACGTACTCCGCGTGTCGAGAGACAGGTGCACCACGCGAGAATATATACGATACAGGCGAGATTAGACGTTATATAAATATATTTATATATGTACGCTCGGTGACGAGTGTAACGGCCTCTGTATATGTACGTATTAATTTTTGTTACTCGAGCGATGCGCGATAAAAGTTGATTTATTTCGTACGATAAGTTTTTTCAGGAGTCAAAAGTCCATACGAGTCGGCTGCTTTTAAGCCAACAAGTTTGCCTCGTCGCTTTGGCGATTTTACCGTGATCGTTCAGCGGACATCTGGCGACGAAGCGACTCGTTACCAGGATTCACGAGATGAGATTTCGCGAGCACACATTCACTCATCTCGGCTCGTTTAATCGTGAAAAATACGAGTCTCGGGTATCGATCTCATTTGTTGTTGTCGATCGCACACGTTTTCGTAACGTAAACAGAGAGTAGTCGGTCGCTGCTCGTTTCGCGCGCATCATCCTTCGCAACTGTCAGACAGCAGTAGTAACAGCCCGACGACCCGTGCGTGTATGTGTGTGTGTGACGTATCGAACGTTAAAACTCAGATATCGATCAATTATTCAAAAATCGCAGGTGCGAAGCAATGGAAGAAATGGAGCAAAGTATCGAAGTGAGAGAGGAGAGCATCGACATCGCTGTTGAGTCAGCGGCTGATGAGCAAGAGAAAGAGGTGGAAAAAATGGAGCAAAGTACTGAAAAGAGCGAGGAGAACAACAACATCGAAGCTGCATCAGCGGCTGAAGAAAAGAAAGAGGTGGAAAAAATGGAGCAAAGTATTGAAAAGAGCGAGGAGAACAACAACATCGATGCTGAAGTACAGGCCGAACAAGAGAAAAAGGTGGAAAAAGTGGAACAAAGTGACGAAGGGGAGAAAAAGAACTTTGACATCGCCGCTGCATCAGCGGCTGAAGAACAAGAGAAAGAGGTGGAAAAAATGGAGCAAAGTATTGAAAAGAGCGAGGAGAACAACAACATCGACGCCGAAGTCCCGGCCAAAGAAGAGAAAGAGGTGGAAAAAATGGAGCTAAGTGTCGAAGGGGAGAAAAAGAACTTTGACATCGCCGCTGTATCAGCGGCTGAAGAACAAGAGAAAGAGGTGGAAAAAATGGAGAAAAGTGTCGATGAGGAGAAAAAGAACATTGACTCGGCCGCTCAAACACCGTCCGAAGAACAAGACAACGATGTGGAAAAAATGGAACAAAGTATCGAAGAGAAGGAGAAAAATATCGACGTCGCCGTTGAAGCATCGGTCGAAGAACAAGTGAACGAGATGGGAAAAATGGAGCAAAGTATCGAAGCGAACGAGGAAAACATCGACGTTGCCGTCGAAGCATCGGTCGAAGAACAAAAGAACGAGGCGAAAAAGAGCGACGAAGCGGAGAAGGACACTACCGATGAAGTACCGGTCGAAAAACGCGAGAACGAGGTGGAACGAATGGAACAAAGCGTCGAAGAGAAAGAAGAAAAAGAAGAGAAAGTCGAGCCATTGAGACGGCGCACCGTCTACGAGCTGGACCGAGCGAGGATCCGTGCGGCCCGACAAAGGGCTCACAGACGCTGGTGGAAATTCTTCAAAACTTCGCGCGAATCCGAGGATTGGAGCGACGAGGAGAAGACCCGAATCAACAAGGAGCTCTTCGAGAAATTGGACAAGGCCGACGCCGACTGGGCGGCTTGGCGCGACGGACCCCCGCTGCCGAGCATCCGCTTCTTCGACGATCTCGTGAAGCAGGAAAGAACGAGACTGGACAGGCTCGAGCTCGAGGCGGAGGAGTTCGCCGAAGGCGATTGCATCTCGGACGACGACGAAGACAACGGCGACGACAACGGCGACGACAACAACAACAATGACGTCGACGTCGTCGATCGGGGACAGGAGAAGCACGAGCGGCAAACGCTGGAGAGCCAGAAGACGGTCGAGGTGTTGAACAACGCGACGGAGGAGGGAGAGACGACGAAGACGACGACGACGACTCAGGACGAGCAGTCGAAGAAGAGGAGGCACAGCTCGTCTAGTCTGGAGGACGGCGAGATCGACGACCGGAGGTTCCTGACCATCCGTGGCTTCGGCGAAGACGAGTACCTGCCGAGGGAGTTCAAGATGCCGAGGAACGAATGAGCGTCGTGTTTCAGAGATTCGCGATTATTTAGAAATTGTAATTTTTTTATTATATAAAAAGAAAAAAAGATAACTATGTGTAATTTTACGCGTATGACGATAATAATAACAACGACAATGTTAAAATATGTATATAATTTAGCTCGCGGCGCCCCGTGTATGGAAGGCGCGCAAGTGTCAAAGTGTAAAAACACGAACTCAGTCTTGAAATAGTAAAGAGCGCAGAAAAAAAAGAGCAATCCGCGCATATTTAAAACGCTCGTCAAAACAAGTGCCTCTCTGTGTTATCTTTCCCGCTTTCCCACACCTTACGTACATACACGATTCTCATCGTCGTCGTCATCCGCTTCGACTTTTTACGCGCGAGTACGCGTTCGAATATTGCCAAATATTTCGCGAGCTTTTACACGTATTATATTATTACATATTATACGCGCGTGAGGCCTCTCTACTCGCTCGTTTTGGGCTCTTTCTATTTTCAGTTGAAGCGTGGCTCGCTCTCGAGCACACACACACACACACACACGCATACGAACGTGGCGCACACACCCACGCGCGGAACGAGACAAAAAAGATGAAGAAGAAGAAAAGAAGAGGATGAGTGAAAAAATCGAGCGACGAATGTGCAGCCGCTCACAGGATGTTACGTTGTACGCGCGCGCGATCTCATCCATCGTTGGTCATACGTATAGTGATTTATAAGAGTCTCGAGTCTGAACGGCTTCCAAGTTTGAATCTCGCAGCCCTAGGCGCGGAGAAAGAGAGAAAGAACAATTGCCCGCGTGTAACGGGCGCCGTGGCACATTCTCTACTACCTGTATCTGTGTCACTGGTGTATAACTACTCGTACGCGATGTAAAAGTATAATTTCGCGAAGTCTCATTCATTTATTGTACCCCAAATGCCGAGGATGACTGTCAAGAAAATGTACATACGACGCCATGGTTTTATCTTCGAAGATATATTTTGTAAAAAAAAGCAAAAGAATTAAACAAATTCAGCGCGCCTCGTAGCGTCGATTGAGAAATATGGTTCAATCGGGCATCTCTCGCGCGGAGAGAAGCTCGCGCGCGTAAACACGGCCTCGAGCGCGAAGATATATATAATTCGCGTGTATATGTAATACATTACTAGATTCATAACAAAGATTAGCTAACGCGTATGTATGTATGTATGTATACCAGTCCGAGTCAGTAGTTTGGAATTCCTATCGCGAAAACGTAAACTGCATATTTTTATCGTACGTTTATATGAGAAATTGGCCCGTGAAAATCTGTGCACTTGCGCTAGAGCTTTATATATACGCGCGATAAGGATGTGCTTTTGCCAAAAAAAAAGTGCAGCACCATACCCGCATTTTCATTTCTCGCGTTTCCGTTCTAATTCTCTCCGGCCGACCGCGTGTTCGAGCTTGAATTTCGCGGCGCATCGAGCTCCGATATAGCAGGCCCGTAACACGCTGGTGGAATGCGCGCAAGATTGCCTGAAACATTCGAATACAGGCGATATTTGATAAAACAAAACACGACGCAACACGGAGCGTATCTCATTCGTCATAGTCGCAAGGCACAAGCGGGTCATTATCGCGCCCCGCGCGCGATGTTTAAAGGGCGCTTCCCTACTCTCTCTCTCCATACTGTATACATAGTATAACTCGCACCCCGCCGTAGCGGTGGTGGCGCTCCACCCCCTACTTTGGAAAGCCGCCGCGCTACGTATGTGTGTGCGTTGGGCGCCTCCACCGCCGCCGCCGCCGTCGCCGCCGTGTATATCCAACTAAAAAAGGTCGGCGCGAGCGGGTGACTAACGCGCGACGCTATTGGCCGAAAGCTCCAGCCAATCTGGCGCTAGTTTACAAGCTCGAATCGCTTATATTCGGAGCCTTGACTCGCTCGCATTTCAGAACGGATCTCTAACGTAAGTGCGTAACAACACCATCGACGTACAACGCTTTTATCTATATAACATCGTATATTATATACTCGTCGCGTACAAAGCTTCACTGTAAAGCTCTCATTTTTTTTTTTCACCATTAATTTTTGTAATTCTTGATTGAATTTCTTCCGTACAAACGTATATAAATCAGACGGATATACGCTTTGGATATTTATACTCTAAGCTTTTTTTTTTTTTTAATCATCATACTTGCAAGCTCGACTCAACTTTCGAATTCCGCGCGCTCGCGTACGAGATTCGCGCGCAAGTTTTTGAAGGTTGAGTTCACGCTGACTTGTCAAAGAATTTTTTGTTACGATTATTGTTTATTGGATTATCGAATTGTTGGCTCACGATTTCTCTCCGGGGCAAAATCGGAAAGGGGGCTCGATAAAATTGTGCGACGTACGAGACGATCGAAAGTGACGCGCGGTCGTTTTAGATCGCTCCAACTGCAACGTGCGTACACCTGCTGCCGGAAGTTTCATAAGACCACAGACTGTGAATAATCGAGCGATTCGGAGGTTTGAGTGCAGTACAGTACAGCAAAAAGTGTGTTTGTGAAAAGCAATTGGGATCGAATCGAAGGATCCGAGTGTGCCGTATGTGAAATTCCGACGCCGAAGTTTGATCAGCGGAGGCAGCAGCGGTTGGAGCATTGACGGATCGTTGGACTGTTTGACAAAGTGATTTCTCGTGGACGATGAAAAAAGTGAAAAATTTTTAGCAATTGACAAGGATCGATTGGTACGGCGTTGAGTTGACACGCACGCAACCGCAATAAGTGAAAAATAGTGAATCTTTTTTTACCCCGGTAACTCGATCGCTGCGAAACATTCTGGCCCGAACGAGTATTTTTTTTTCAATCGAGATTTGTGTTCAAATAAAATAGGCACTTTCGAGGGCTTTAAATGCCAAAAATAACTAATATTACGCCGGAGCTTTTTAATTCGAGTCGAGTCGATTGAAATCTTTATTTTTATTCGAGTCTCGCAATACCCTTCGGTAACTATAAAAATCCAATTCGAACGCTCGGCAAAATTAATCGTCGCAATCGCGAGAGCTCGGCAAAATCGTTTCTCGCTCGCGCTCGTTCAATTTTCCGCGTCGCTGAGCGTGATCGCGCGGCGCCTGAAAATCTCCCGTGACATCAAAGAGGGAGCGAGCGAGTCGAGATTCGCGCGACAGACGTCTCTGGCGTCGGCGATCGATCGAAAATCGCAGAGCGCGTATTACATAACTCGCACGCTCTCGAGGTAAAATGACGCAAAATCGATGGGGCTAGGCGGTAGCGGCAACAAGAAAAAGCGAACGAGACAATTTTATAAAGTTTTGCGTACTTCCTGTTTTTGCATGGGACGCGGGGCTTTCTCTCTCTCTCTCTCTCTCTCTCTCTCTCTCGCGTATACGAGCGCGTGGCTTATTTCTAGCGCTGGAATCGCTGGGATTTAAATTTAGCTCATATTTTAACTGGGACTTCGGAGTGGTCGAACGAAAATAGTCCATAAACTGTGAATTGATTTAAAATGTCGGTCAAACGATTGTGACAAACTTCTCTTGTCCGTCTTCTTGTTTACACTTGTTGTGAAAAGTCAAAAAATAAACTTTCGCATTTCGCGCATAACTTTCCCATGAGCAATAAATTGAGCTTGATTAAGAAAGAAAAATGTTACATGCAAAATGAAACATCCATTCAATCGTGAAAATCGCGAGCAAAAAAAAAAAAAAAGTACACGTTTGTTGAACTTGAAAAGTCGATACATGGCCCGGTGCGAAAGCTCTCGCGACGATGCACGAATATGGAGCATTCCTCCGGGGCGCCGCGCGCGCGATCATTTTCCTCTTGACGCCAAGAAGCAAAAAAAATCTGTGCCACCAGTGCCTAAAAATATGCCTTCCGAAATTTATAAATACAGACGCGACTTTTCTCGCGAAAAAATACGCGACGCGCGGGTGAAATCATTCAGAAAAACGAATAAAAAAGAAGACGAAGAAGAAGAGGAAAATTAAGCTCGCTCGAGTAAAGCAAAGAAAAAAAAAAGCTCCCGCAGAGGCATGTGTTATTCTAGGTCGCGCGCGTAAAATATATATGTAATCCCATTGGCTCTCTCCGCGCGCTGTACGGTCTCGCGAGCGTCCCAAAAATACCCGGTTACGGCTCTCTCTCTCTGTATAACGGGTGATGTCAAATCCGCGAAACAATGCCAATGTGCAATCCGATAGGCAGTCGCCGCCGGTGTTGGAGAGAGAGAGCCCCCGCCCGCAACAATTAGGGCAAGAGTAATCGGCTCATTCTCTTTTGCTCTCCGCCGCCGCCGCCACCACTACCACCAGAGACTTTTGGATTCTCGGCATACCGCGAGGCGATGAAAAATCTAAAACGAGAGAGAGAGACAGAGTAGAGATCCCCGTTTTGTTTTTTTTTTGTTTTTTTTTTTTTTTTAAGAAAAAGCTCTCCGTCTCTCTCTATCGCTCGGAGCTTGGGCGCAGGTAAACGTCGTGGCCCCCGCGAAGCGAGCGAAAATTTTGCGCGAAAGGGGCGCCCGAACTATATAACGTATATGAGATAGACGAAAATAAAAGAAAGGGGGGCCAACAATTCGACTATACGTTTAAGAAAGAGAGAAATAGAGAGAGAGAGAGAGAGAGAGTGGAGGCTCGAAATCCAAAATTGAATCTAACCCTCCCTCCTCTCTCTCTATTTCTTCATCTAGATATATATGTGTGTGTATATCTCGAGCACGGGTCGTGTGGGTGTGGGGGGTGTGGTGGGGTGTCTCTCTACACGACACACTCTACCTCAGCCGCCGCCGCCACCGCTGCCGCTGCTCGGCTGTCGCCATATTGGCCGAATCTCTATAAGCTATACTAAAGTCGAGCTTTCCGTTTCTCCGCAGGGCCGCCTTGTTCGTGTGCCGGCCAGAAGCAGTCCGTCCGCCGACGACGCTAGAAAGAAAAAGTGATAGGATAGTTATTATATATTAGTTCGAAGGCGAAGAAGTTAAAAAAAAAAAAAAAAAGTCAGCGACGACGGCACCTTCGAGTGTGCGCGACATCATCATCATCGACACTCTCTCCTCTCTCTTCTATACCGAAGAAAAAAGAAAAAAACGGCGCGCACAACGAACAGCGATCCGAAGTGATTCGGATTCATCATCATCTCTTCATCATCAAGTTTTGGATTATTTTTTTTTTTTTTTTTTGAATAGTGACGACGACGACTTATATATTAAAGCGATTTAATATATAAAACGACAATTTGCTTATAAACGAAAGGCATATTTTATAAAGTTGGTGCGTCTTTGCTCGTGAAGGCTCATCACCCCGACACACAGAAAAAAAAACTACTGCATCCGCGCGGATTACATCGGTCGCGGAGTGTTAAAATTATTAAAAATTTATTTCGATTCGTCTTTGAGTGAATAAGCCAGAAAAATGCCGGCTCCCCAGAAGCAGGACGAGGATGCGGATCCAACTCCGTACTTGTACGTCTCCTTGGAGCAGAAGAGAATCGATCAGACCAAGCCCTACGATGCCAAGAAGGCTTGCTGGATCCCCGACGAGAAGGAGGGCTATCTCCTTGGTGAAATCAAGGCGACCAAGGGAGACATCGTCTCCGTCGGCCTGCCCGGTGGCGAGGTAAGTTTGTTTTTTCCTTCGTCTACTTTTTTTTCTCTCTCTCTCTCAGCCAATCTTTTCTTCGCTCTCGAGTGCGAATCCGGATTTTTTTTTCCGCGCGCTAGAGAGATCGAGATCTCGTATAAATGGACGCGACGCAAGAGTTACGCAACGCGTTTAAAGCTCCAGTTTAAAGCTCTATCGGGATTTTTGAGTCTTCTTTCGGTTTAATTTTCATTCAACGTTGCTTTTCATTGATCGAGCTATTTTTTTTGCATCGCTTAGTACTCGACGTCTCTCGGAATTTCACGAAACGTAAGTCGATCGTTGACGCGAAAATATAATCGACCTGCAACGAGTTCAATTCGTACATATTATTATACACATATTACAACGTGACGTGTACGAGTCGGTTCAAATTTGCTCTCGATTGCCAAATACGACGAACGATCGGATGTACGATATACACCTGCGCGTCGACCATATCTTCTTCATCATCCTCTTTATTTTTTTTTTCTTGTCTCCGATCCAAGTTTTACGCGATCGCATCTTCGGGAACGGATATTCGCAATAATGACTCACGGATGAACTTTCGTCGTCGCGGCGGCCGATTCCGAATAAAAATATTTCGGAGCTTTAACAAACACACACGCGCACGCAAGCGAGCACGCATACACACACACACACCCGTCTTTCTAATTATAAACCTGCTTGACTTTAAAACGATGACGATGATCGGTCGGGGAGAGCTTTCGCATGAAATATATCCCCTCATCGTGGCCAGCACAGGAGCTATGTAATATTTTCCATATACGCTTGACTAGCGCTTGAAAAAAAAAAAAAAGAAAAAGAAAAATATTTGCAAAAATAACAATATAATTACGTAATACGTGGCTGAGCGAAACGCGCGGCAAGTGTCGTGTAAAACGAGGGGGTCCGAGGAACGGAAGCGAGGGTTACGCGAGATTATTACACGGCTCGAGGACGGAAAAAAGAACGACGAGCTTTTCTGGGCTAAGCTTCTATTTTTTCCGCTCGATCGCTTCGCGACGCGTAAACACACGGACTCATTCACACTAGCACAAACACACCAAGCGGGACGCAGCAGCAGCACCATTGAAAAAGATGAAAATATCTCTCGACTCGTCCCGGAGAGAGAGAAAGAGATCGTCGCTCGCGAAAGCTCGAAAGCTCGTTAACGTTAAGACAAGAGCGGGTGGAGATTGTAGAAAGGTCGTCGCAAAATGAAATGTTACGGATGGATCAAATTTTTTTTTTGCTCTCGACATTACGAAAGCTTTCGAACGTAAACGCGTACGATAAATTTTTTCGCGCTATTATTATTTCCCACCTTCGCCCTCGTAGCGATAATAATGGAAAGACGCGCGCGCGCGCGTTCAGCAAAAGAAAATTCATGGACTCTCCGAATACGAGCGCGCGCGCGCCTTCTAACCTACATATATCGGAATTTTATATAAATACCGCGAAGAAAGCCGCGCGCCGTCTATTTTCACGTCGCGCGCTGCCTATAAGCGCACGAGAGTCGCTTTATTATTAGCAACACGCGGGCGACTTGTCTATACACACACAGGCACTAACTCTCACTCGCTCGCTCGCTCTCGCTGGGGAGCGCGAACTTTTTGCAGCAGCAGCACACGCATAATCGTCGCAAAACAACCGACGACCTTCCGGCCCCCTGTTTACGCGCGTTACACGCATTTCGTAACCCGCATCTACAAAAATGGAGCTTTCGGACGTTAAGGGGTATTATTATTACGCAAGCTCGTGTAAAAAAGCTCGGTTTCGATTCGCTCGGTGGTTTTATAACGGCGCTCGCGTAAAAGCTCTCGGGCTCGATCGTTGCACAGAGACTCTCTCCGGCTCTGTATAATGGCATGGCGCTATTGTTAGCCAATCAACGCGGCTCTCGCACACGTCCATCGCATGGACACACGCACACACACACACACACACACACACAGACGCGCATATACGCGTATGCTCTGCGGGCTATAATAATAAAACGGTGAAGCGCGGGTCACGTTATTTTTGGGCGGTGTACGCGCCTTCAAGCTCCACATATCCACCGGAGCGCGCGCGCGCACGGCTCAGCCAGTCACAGAGAGAGAGAGAGAAGCAGAGCAAATCCGTCTCTCTTTCTCGCTGGCTCGGGTTGAATGATGTACAACACCTTGCGAATGAAAATGAACGTGGACAGAAGTTGTGAGAGCTTTTTTTGCGAGAAAGCTTCCAAGCGGTCGATGCTTCATTTTTTATTGGAATATTAGAAATGGAAAATATCGTACGAATAGAGCTTGCGAGAGTGAGAGAGCGCGACGGAGATAGCAAAATATGACGCGGTATTAGCGATCGTGTTTTCTAAAGCGCGCGCGCGCTAAATTTGGAATCGCGACGGCTATGACGGCACTGGGTTCTATATATATTTACGCGCGCTCACGCACACACACATACTTGTGTATACATAATACACACACACACGTACGCGAGGACGCGAACGAGCGCGCGGGCGGCAGAGTTTCGCGCGCGCGCGGATGTGTCTCGTAATAAACATATATCTTTCGTTACATAATGTCTCGAATGCAGAGAGAGAGAGAAGAAGAGTCACCGAGTATAAGAGCATAACTCATGCCAGAAATCTCTCTCTCTCTCTCTCTCTCTCTCTCTCGCTTATATTATGTTGTTGCTCGCTTTGAAAATCGGAAGAGACGCGCGCGCAATAAAAGAAATGACGAAAATCGATACACAACACGCACGACCGGCTCGCAAGCTAGAGAGAGAGAGCTTTAAAAAAGCTCGACGCCCGAGAAAGAGAAACGACTATGGAATTCGGTTGGGCAATAATACACACGAATCGAGATCACATTTCTCTAAACGAGACTCACTCTCTCTCTCTCTCATTTATATATGCCGCCGCCGCGTTGGCTAAATTCGTATTATAGAGTCTCCTTCTGTCTCTTAACGCAGCTTTTTCTCTCGACCGAAAGAGTAGCCGTTTTATGTATAGCGCCGTGGACCTAGCGGCGTGTGCAAAATTGCACGCGAAGCTCTTTGACACACGCGCGCGCACAAACTCGCTAGTAGTAGCTAAAGTCTTGGCAGAGGCTCAAAAATCAGGTTGACGAGTGCGTATACGGGACACGAACTGCACACAGACAAATGTCACACGCAAAATCTCTAGCCGCGGCGAGCTTAAGGACACGACGATATGAAATAATGCCGAATGCCGAATAACAACGCAATGACGTAATTTTATTTATAATGGGAGACGCTTGAAATAACACGCATGCACGAAAACAAAATATGCGCTACAAACACACGATATGTCTATTACGATTTAACGAAACACACGAAAAACACACGTTGACCAATAGAGAAGGGAGGTACGCAAGGACAAGCTCCTGCAGGTCAATCCGCCGAAATTCGAAAAGTCCGAAGATCTCGCCGATCTGACCTTCCTCAATGAGGCCTGCGTCTTGCACAATCTCAAGCAGCGCTACTACGCCAAACTCATTTACGTAAGTTCCACAATGCCAAAACTCGACTAACGGTGCTTCCTTCTTTTTCTCTCGATAAAGGTTAGGGACGTGAAAAAGGACCTGCTGCAGCAGGTGAACCCGCCCAAGTATGAGAAAGCCGAGGACATGTCCAACTTGACCTATTTGAACGACGCCTCCGTGCTCCACAATCTCAAGCAGCGTTACTATCACAAACTCATTTATGTAAGAAATTTTAATGCAGAGAAGAGTTGTCCAACGTCGTGACGCGACGTGATTCTCCGTTTGTCCTCGAAGAGACGGATACAAACGGAGGATACGTGTCTATGAGTGTGATCCAACCATCAACAACCAACCAACCAGCGCCTGACCGCTGTTTTGATATTCTTCCTTTTTTTTTTTTGTTGTTGTCCTCCTCTGTTGTTCAATATCATTCGAGTCGCGTACGATCGAATCAAATGCTTTATGGAATCCTAAAAATCGAAAAAAAAAATTATAATCAAGTGAAGATCGTACGCGGCCGATGACGTTTTTTTTTTTTTATTTCTCGTAGTTAGATTTTTTCCAGAGTCTTGTGTGTCTCCAACGAGGTGTTCAGAGCAACTGACCTGCCAACCCTCGCAGCTGATATATTTTTATACATTATATATGTCGTATAATACATAGAAATTTTCAACGTTTTTTTTTTTTCATGACTAACCCACATGAACATTCCAAAAAGAAAGGAGGGTGAATGCAGCGTTTAAAGAGTGGAAAATGAAAATTTCTCACTGCATTCGTTCTCCGAGTATTGATGGAAATTTTTATTAACGAAACATCTCGAATCTTTTCGAATACAGAAAAGATTAGAATATCCATATACCCGTACGTATGTATCGATAAAAATAGCTGTTACACTTTCTCAACTTGTAATATTTTATCGATAGATCGTACGACGATTTTTCACATTTTGATACCTGTAAATATATAAAAAGTATATACAAAATAACAACATTAGACGATTGATATTTTAAATGTAAATTAAAATCACGATCGTGTCGGCAAAAGTATCCAAACGCATAAAAGAGCCACACGCATCGTGCGGATCGCGCGTAAACCTGCTCACGAAAAAGTAGACTACGTGCGATCCTCGTCATCAATTTTTTTCGTTTTTCGTTTGTCACGTTTTCTTCTGTTGTTGAAAAAAAAAAAAAAAATTATCATGTACCCACCCACGAACGATACTGATTGTCTTTTGTTTTTCTCCGAACCAAAAACATTGCAGACTTATTCCGGTCTTTTCTGCGTGGCCATCAATCCTTACAAGAGATACCCCGTCTACACCCAGCGTTGCGCCAAGCTCTACCGTGGTAAGAGGCGTACCGAGGTGCCACCCCACATTTTCGCCATCTCTGACGGCGCCTACGTCAACATGTTGACCAGTACGTAACACTTACAAAACAATATCGAATTTTGAAGATGATACATTTTATTAACGAAACTCAATTTCTCGCTACCTCCCCAAAAAAAAACAGACAGCGAAAATCAGTCTATGTTGATTACCGGAGAGTCTGGTGCCGGAAAGACTGAGAACACGAAGAAGGTAATTGCGTACTTCGCCACCGTCGGTGCCTCCACCAAGAAGGACACCTCCGGCTCCGAGAAGAAGGGATCCCTGGAAGATCAGGTCGTACAGACCAATCCCGTACTCGAGGCCTTCGGTAACGCCAAGACCGTGCGTAACGATAACTCCTCCCGTTTCGTAAGTACTCCAACTTTTTCCCGTCGTTATTTGTTCTCGAACATAAATTCGATCAAGCATTAACTTATCCAACTCGTTGTTACCCAGGGTAAATTCATCCGTATTCACTTCGGCCCATCTGGAAAACTGGCCGGTGCTGATATCGAGACCTGTAAGTTTTTACTTTCCACTTGCACCTTCTCTCTCTTTTGCTCGTTGGATTTTTTTTTCTTAACCGACCGACTTGTTGTTTTTGCCGCACAGACCTGCTGGAGAAGGCCCGTGTCATCTCTCAACAATCGCTCGAGAGATCTTACCATATCTTCTACCAGATGATGTCTGGAGCCGTCAAGGGTCTTAAGGGTAAGGTTTTCGCATTACATAATAGAGACTCTCGCGAGTCGCGTCGTTTAATTCTTTACGATTAGGTTATTGTAATTTTAAGATAATTATGCGATAAGTCCCTGATTATGATGAAAAAGTCAAACGTTATTTGTTGTCGTTTTTACAACTGGTAATAGTTTTACATCATCGACAGATTTACAGATGACGTTTGGTTTTTTTCGAATATAGAAAAAGAGGTTGATCAAAGGCTTAGGATATAAAATCAAGCAATTTAGAATTCAATTATCAGTTGATGGTTACATTTTTTTATAGTCAATCCAATAATATATCCAAAATACTCCTTGTGATTAACTCGGAATTTTGAAGGCTCGACAACGGCTGTCATTGTTGTCATTACGGTGTAATCGTGTCTCCATCAAAACGAGACGAGAAAAAGAAAGAGAACGTAATGTGTCAAGTCTGTCTCTGTGTATGTCTGTATATGTCGTCGTCAATCGAGAGAGATGATTAATTTTACTTTATCATTATTATTATTTTTTTTTTATTCCTTCAATTGTTTCGATTATTTTGGAATGTCGTTCACTCACAACTGTGCCCATTTGATTTTTCCACGTACGAGCAGAGATGTGCTTGCTCTCGAACAATATTTCCGATTACTACTTCGTCTCGCAAGGAAAGACGTCCATTCCCGGAGTCGACGACGGCGAGGAATGCGAACTGACTGATGTAAGGAGATAATTAAAAAAAAAAAAAGCAAAAACAAGCGAATCGCGCGGCTGTCAAAGACTTTTTTTTTTCAATATTTATTTTCTAATAACGACTTTGTATATACATTTTTTTTTTGTTTTCACTGTATAACGTAATTTTTATTGTTGACTTGTTGCCGTTTATTCACAAATTATATCTAAATATATTATACGCCGCTACATTTTGTTACACTTGTATAAAAAGAAATTGCAGATTTGTTGTAGTAGACTTTGAATTATTGTTAAAAAGCGATTCGCAAGCAAAAGGCTCATACAGCTCTTCGCGTTAGATCGTGATTAACTACAGTTTGCAACCGAGAGTAATGACAAACAATTGAAATAAAAAAATTTTAAACAGACTGAGAAACCAAACCCTCTGCGACACGAGGACTTTTTAAATATTTGTACACAGCGATGATGTGTTAAAATGCAAATGACGCAAAAATAATTGAGTTCGACGATACGAAGGGCTCTCTCTTACATCAGTGTGTGTGTATTGACTCTTATTGTCGATAAACGATGAAATTAAAAAAAAACAACAGACAATTATGTGTGTTTGAGATGTAATCTCAATTTTGTAGAAAAAAAAAACCAGTTGTTATGGGCATCCGACGAGTTACGGAGCACAAAAACAAAAAAAATGATAAAGCGACAGACTCGTTTTATTGATGTAAAGTAACGCGCATGTATTGTGTAATCAACCATTACCAACTTGATGGTTGAATCACAACGTGCCGATATTGTAATAATTAGTTTCTAAGTAGTTTAGAATATTTAATCCCCTTATTTTTAAAAGCTGATGATCAAAACCCCGAAATCAACCGGGTGTTCAAAGTCACAGTCGCGATTATATTATTTTCTCTCGAAACTAATCATTGAAATTTCACGTCAAACCTTTTGCATACGGCTGTGACTTTGAAACGTCGAAAAGAACCTGGTGGGTACCCTCTGAATATCCATACGATTCATTGGGTACGCAAAAACACGACCACTTTGAAAACTACTAAAAGGTTCAAAAAAATCGGCTCTCATCCAAGCATGTGTTTTTTTCTCTTTTTTCTTTAAAAAAAAAAAAATAAATCTGCAATACACCAACCACCAACAACTACACAACAACAACAACAGAAAAGTGCCTGCTGTCCAACAAAATCACTGATTACTACTTCGTGTCGCAAGGCAAGACCACGATACCCGGTCTCGATGACGGCGAAGAAATGCTTATTACCGACGTAAGTGCCGCCCCGTTCGCCATACGCATATACTCTCCATATTGTACTACTATATGGCAGCTACTGTGTCGCACACGCGATACACGCGCGTGTGCGTATACGTGTGCGCGTGGGGGTGGTATATTAAAAAAAAAAAAATGTGTAACCCCTCCACGCGTACACGATTGGCGAACGTCATCCACTCGCAGCACTTCACGATTACACGATTCTTTGGTTTTGCTCTATTACTACCACTATCACTACTGTTGGTTTTTTTTTACATTTATTTTATCGCGTATCTCATTGGCTCTGCATCGAATTGTGGATTTAGTTTTCACTATCTGAACAATTTCAAAATACGATATCCATAATTGTTTGCACCAGTCGAATGAGCGTACGATTTGTAAATATCTATCAATCTACACTCGCTCAGATACTCATATATTATAGATATCTTCTAAGTGTGCGTATCATGTCTGTTGTCTGTCATTAATAATGTTTATATCATCGTCTCTCGTCTATTACAAATTTCCTTTACTTTTTTTATTTCTATCTCTCTCTCTATCTATCTCTTTTATTATTCACATCAACTGTTGTAAATACGATCGAAAATCTTATGTATTTTTTGTTGTATACATTCATTTATATATTATAATTCACGATTACTCTCGCTTGTATATATAGCTCTAATTTTTTTTGGAATTCACTATTTATATTATATGTATCCTAAAAGCCTTACAGCCGCAGCAGCCAATTTTCACCTTCATGCATCTTTTTCTATCTTACTTATAAACTTCTCTTTTTTTTGTATCTTTATATCTTATTAGCTCTATGTTTAGTTTAGACTATTATATGTTTAGTTAGATATTTAGTTTATATATCCCTCTTTATTACTATTTTAAGTTATGCAAGTATTACTTATTCTAAAAAAACAACCACAACTTTCAGAAAACAGGTACTATACACTCCACCGATGAACAATATATAAAAAAAAAGACTCGACGAGTCGCGATGGACGAGATTCATTTATTTATTTATTTCACTCTGTCAGAAATGTATTACGAGTGCTCCATTTCTCGTCCGTCGCGACGTCTGACCGTTTTCTCGACTCTCCGCATCTCTCTTCTATGCATTTGCCTCGATGTTATATACGAATTCGTATAATGTATGTGTATAAGTGCGCACACACACACACACACACATGCACACAGGCACTCGTGAATTTCACGAGCTGCTCGTTTTTGAATGGCACAAACGCAGGGCAGCACACATTTGCTCGCTGGCCTCGTTTATCGAGTTTATATTTATACGATTTTGCCATGTGTGTGTCTGAGTGTGTACGCACGCTATACACGTCTACATATTTATACGTATATGCATTAACTCGAACGCATCTGTGCACAATTACGACCAACAAAAAAAAAAAATACAGAATTGACGTTACTGAGCAACCGCATCGGTGACTACGGCTTCATTAACCAGGGTAAAACGAGAATTCCCGGGGTCAACGACACCCTATCAATGGAAGACACGGACGTAAGTCCTCTATGTCATAATACATGAAAAGCTATTTTATTATTATTTATGATTAATTTTTTACATAAAAAAAAAAATTAATTTAATTTATTTTTGATCAAAAAATGATATTCTAAAGCGAAACGCCAAACAAAAAAAAAACAACAAATCAAATCAACCCCTTCAACGTATAACCCCACCTCCGATTTTCACCGATAAACCGCTTCCTTTAAAAAAAAAAAAAGCAACTTGTGATCGTATAGTTTTCATTGTTTATTTGTTCGATTTTTAATTGTCTATGTGCAGTATAACGTTGTATTGAGTCATAATTTTGTTTCTTTTTTTTTCTATTACATTCACGCTCTTTTCTCGTGTTTTATCTTTTTTTCGAGTTAAATTTAAAAAAAAAAAACAAATCAATAATTAAAAGATATACTGCAAAATTGTTCTAAATGTACTCATATAAAAAAACAGACGTTTTATTGAAAGAGATTAATTGTTCTTCGCAAAAAATTAAAGCTTGCCAAAAAAAAAATTTATTAAAATAAAACATTTATAAAATGAGATCTTTGAAAATGCGACGACGATCATCGGCTCGGCTGCATTGAGAAAAGCTCGCTCGTCGACGCGAGTGTCAATGACACCCCGCGGAGTCATCGCTCTCCGTCGCTCGAGAGCTTTTCTCTCTGGTCGAATCTGCCCGATGAGTGTTTAAAAATATCTCATTAAATGAGATTACATAAAGTTTTGTTTCAAAGCACGTTTAATCGCGAGCGAGCTCACATTATTGTTATTTTTTATTATTATATATATCGCAAGCCATATATTTATATAATTGCCCGCAGAGATTGGGGGGCGGGAGCGGCTATCGGAGTGTATATAAATCGGGGAAGGGGGTGTATATCGTTGAGACAAAAGGCGTTAATTTGATTGATTTTCAAAATTGTCAAACCCATAAAAGATTTGTTACAAAAATATGTTTCGCAGAAAATAGATTTTCATGTGACAGGTGGATTTTACTGAAAATTATGTTTTATATATACAAATGCAGGTCCCGCTCCCCGACTTTATATGTGAATACGTCATGTACGTTTTTAGCACACTAATATATAAACACTACGTCACGATACATCTTATACACGCGACACCGAGTTTGGCGAAAGCTTCTCGTTGCAATTTTTTTCCTCTTTCATCTTTTTTGTTTTCGAAGAGATAAAGTATAAATTGAACGAGAGCAGAGCCAAACTCACCAATCACATACGCACACAACAACAACAACAACAACAACAACAAATATCGCAGCTGTTATACGCTTGTTATGTATACGAATTCAGCTAATCTTCAGGTTGTCACGTATAAGCGGAAGATTTCCAAGGACCGTAAAAAAAAAAATAATTTGTATTGTCTATTTATTTGTAAGCAAGACTGATTACTCTTCTTTCATTCTTTTTTTTTAATTGTGCTTGAACTCTTTTTCCCCGCAGAGATGTGTTTCTTATCGAACAACATTTACGACTATTACAACGTATCCCAGGGAAAGATCACTATTCCGGGTATCGATGACAACGAAGAAATGGGTCTTACGGATGTAAGTCCTGTTCCCCAACAAACCCCCTCCACCCAAAAGAGAAAAAAAAGAAATGACCAGATCCAGACTTTTTTACCCTCGTTTTTTTTTTATATAATTTTACTCTCAAACCAATCACAAACGAGTGATCTGTTTTATCCTTGAAAAAAAAAATGATGAATACCTTCCATTGATTCAAATACTAGAATCTTAGATACGAGACAATTTTTCTATTTCTTTTGCTTTTTTTTATATGAAAGAAAACAAAAAGAAACTTCCATATTCAACGACATGTTTGAATAAGTACCAGACTCTCAGAATCTTGAACATTTCGACGTTCAATGCAACTCCTTTTTTTTCACAAGCACGTTATTTCGATTTTTTATTTTAAAATTTTTCACGGCACTTGTTTTACTTGTCCTCAATCACTATTTATTTCTTTTTTTTTCTAATTGATATATGACCAGTTCAATTTTCCAATTTTGATGAGATACTTTTCTTGATCTGATTTTTTTTTCACCTTCGATTTCATCCCTTTTGAAATTCAACCTGAAGAACTCCACGATAGTCGTTTTCAATTGACACAAATTCTGTTCTTAAAATTGGACTATCGTCGAGTATCTCTCTATGACTTTCCACCCCACCAACGAATTTTCCCTGAAGTTGTGAATGATATTACCAACGTTATGAGACAAAAAAAGGATTGATCACATGACCATGAAATGAATTTTCAGAGTACAAGCACGTTTTATTTATGACAGAAAGTAAAAAAAAAAACGATCGAACTTTCTCAGCACAAGGCAAAATTGAGAAGTGACGGTTCGTCGGCCGAAAAAATAAATAGGTTCACAGAGAAACCATCGCTTATTTATTATTTTCTTTTTTCTATACTTCAATTTTTTTTTCTTCCTTCACTTTGCTATCATTATATCTATGTACTATTTATGATAAAAAGAAAATCGCTTACACTCTGCTTCGATGCTTTGCTTCTTGTACAAAAGAGCGTTTATAGCTTTGCGTAAATATGTACACTGTCTCGGCTTGAAAAATGTCTCGCAGCTTCGAACTTGTCGCACTTGTACTGTATTTTTTCTTGGCTTCCTGTGTGTGTGTGTGTGTGTGTCTTTCGTTACACCTCAAAGTGTGACCTGTCTTGCTATGTCATATTTTTTTTTGTATCACACTTTATCATTTTGATTTGTACCGGTACCTCTCTGGGAGGCGATAAAAGGATGAGTTGTCAAAAAAATAAATCGAAAAGTGAAAAACTTTTATCGTCTCTGCATCGGAGGTCATAAGAAAAATTGTGCATAAACGGGTCTCTAACGATACTTTATCCCCTCTCGAAAAACAGAAAGCCTTCGACGTCTTGGGTTTCACCCAGGAGGAGAAGGACGACATCTACAAGATCACCGCCGCTGTCATGCACATGGGTGGCATGAAGTTCAAGCAACGTGGTCGCGAAGAGCAGGCTGAGGCCGACGGTACAGAGGTTAGTAAATCCACCGAAACGTATGATTATTATTACCAATAAAATTTACAAAACTCTTTAATCGAATGTCGTCCTATTCCACGAACGCAGGAGGGTGAGCGCGTAGCCAAGCTTCTCGGTATCGACTGCCAAGACATGTACAAGAACTTGCTGAAACCAAGAATCAAGGTCGGTAACGAGTTCGTCACCCAGGGTCGTAACAAGGACCAGGTGTCCTACTCCGTCGGTGCCATGTCCAAGGCCATGTTCGACAGGATATTCAAGTGGCTGGTCAAGAAGTGTAACGAGACCCTAGACACCAAGCAGAAGCGTCAGCACTTCATCGGTGTACTGGATATCGCCGGTTTTGAGATCTTCGACGTGAGTAGTCTACACGAAACCCAGAAAACCAACTACAAAAAATCTTTACACGACATCGTTCGTTTTTCGATTCGATCGCTTTTTATAAGAGTAACTTGTCGAAATTTTGTATTTTAATTTTTTGAATGAACGATCAGATCGGAAACACGAAATTAACCACGCGTCGAAAATCAAACTTGAATATCAATGTGAAAAAATAGTTCAAAGAGAGTTTGAATTTCGTACGCTGGTGAAAACCCCCACAGCCCCCCTCAACGAAAAAAAACACTTCAATTAGTCATTCAAGGAAACGTCTGCATCACATCGTCCATATATAAAAAAAAAATACCCAATCAGAGATCTCCAATCGCATCATCAAGCCTCCCCCCTTCACCACTACACCCCCTTTCTTCAAATAAAATAATTGCAAATAGACTCAAAGAGTAAAAAAAAAATATCGTGCCTATGAAAACCAAAAAAACCTTAGTACAACGGCTTCGAGCAACTTTGCATCAACTTCACCAATGAGAAGTTGCAACAGTTCTTCAACCATCACATGTTCGTCCTCGAGCAAGAGGAGTACAAGAAAGAGGGTATCAATTGGGCGTTCATTGATTTCGGAATGGACTTGCTCGCTTGTATCGAACTTATCGAGAAGGTAGAGCCACAAAGACCCCCGCTCCCCCTTTAGAGAGACTTTCGTTTTGAACCCCGTTGATTTTCTACAGTTTCTTTTGTGCAATACCCCGAAAAAAATGATCTTTTCTTTTTTTTTCTTCTTTTTTTTTTTACTTTTGCATTCCGAATCATCATAGAAAAACATATAGTTTTCAGATATAAGAAAGTCAGTTGTAACTGATTCGTTTGTGAACCCTTTTTACAATTCATTAGCAGCATATTGTTTTAAAATATCCCGTTTTGAACCCCCCTTCTGAATTTTATGAATTGATTCATCCATTATAGTTTCAAAGTCGAAAATAAATTCAACTTCGAGAAACTCGAGTCGATGTTAAGTAAGTTTTAAACGGACCATTTAAACGAGAACGATCGCAACGGTAAAAGGTACAGTTTGTTTTTTGACCCCCCCCCCCCCCCACNCCCCCCCTCTCACCACAATTGAAAAAAAAAACAACTATCACAACAAAACACGTGTTACCCTTTTTGTGACCCTTTCATCATTTCCCGATGTACTCCCATATCAGGCACAGAAACGATAGACTTTGATTGATGTTGTGATTAAATTTAGACTTTAAGACAATCATTTCATTTAACGAGATGAAGTAGATAAAAGTAAAATCGTGAACACCTCTTTGATCATTTTTGTATCCATATTTGTAGTAAAATTTGTAATTTCTCGACCTAAGCATCCAAAACTGACCACAAACGACAGAAACGTCAGCTTAGCAATTATATCATCTCATCGACCTGTTTCCTCGCACTCAAAGGTGAAACCTTGGAGATCATTCACGGGTGTATCCCTGATGAAATGAAAATTTTTTTTTAAACAAAAAAAAAAAAAAAATCTCGCAAACGAGAGATCAAAGCAGACACGTCGATCGTAAAAAAGAAAAGAAAAAAAAATCCCCCATCTGAGCAAATCAGTAAAGAAACTGACCTTATTTCCGGTGTCATCTCCTGTGCGCTCCTCGAACAGTTTAACAGCTTCGAGCAGCTCTGTATCAACTTCACCAATGAGAAGCTCCAACAGTTCTTCAACCATCACATGTTTGTCCTCGAACAAGAGGAGTACACGAGAGAGGGCATCGAGTGGTCCTTCATTGACTTTGGCATGGACCTACTCGCGTGTATCGAGCTCATCGAGAAGGTGAACCTGACGTGCTTTGAACAATGCCGTCGACCTGCTCGCAAGCTAAAAAGCCTAAAACAAAACAAAAAAACAGATCAGATTGGTTCCTCGTATTAAGACAATTTTGGTACCATATCTGTCGTTTTAAAAAAAAAAAACAAACACTAATCGGGCAATGTTGTAAATACACACAGAAAAAAAAATTATCAACGTAAATCAAAGCCTCTTGAGAACACGGCTCTACGTTGTCGCCATACGCCCAAATGGCTCTCGTTCGTATCTAACCAAAAAAAATGTGCCAATTGTATCGTCAGAAGCAAAAAGTGATCGTTCACTGTTTCCATTCAATTTTTTATATACATTATTATATGTGTCTATTAAGTGTCTGTCCTGGTGTCCGTCTATGTGTCAAAACAAACAAAAAACATAATATCCGTTTTCTCCCTGTTTTGTTTCAACCATCATCAACAATCCTTCGTTTTATGTGTTCGATTTACCCTTTACCACATCGAGACCTGGTTAGTTATTTAAGTGACGTTTCCGCACGTTCTTTCCAATCCGAAAATCTGAGGCTCCAAATATTTCATCATCAACCACAGAAACATAAAAAACAAACGTCTTCAGAACATCAACATCAACCACAAAATATCAACCACCAAAATTCAAGCATGATTTAATTTATCCAATGCAGCAATGAAATTATATCGAAATTATGTCTTTATTTCTTGCTGATCCACGAATCCCCGTGCAAAAAAAATCGTTGTTGTGACGCAAAAAAACCGAAACCAAAAACCCGCAGTATAACGGGTTCGAACAGCTTTGTATCAATTTCACCAACGAGAAATTGCAACAATTCTTCAATCATCACATGTTCGTGCTCGAGCAAGAGGAGTATCAGCGCGAGGGCATCCATTGGGAGTTCATTGATTTCGGCATGGATCTGTTGGCTTGTATCGAGCTCATCGAGAAGGTACTGAGAGACAAACACAATCCGAACGAAGAAATTGATTGTGGTCAACCAAAAAAAAAAAGCTATTGTTACGGAGAAAAAAGAAAAAACGAACCCGAAACGCTTCGATTTTTTTTCCTTGAATTTTGAGGCTTTTGAGATGAACGAACAAAAAACAAACGAATTCATTGGTACCATGGAGAATTGGTTAACCCCGGCTTTTTGATATGTACTCCATCATACGGCAGAATTGCTCATCAGACATGAAAACAAAAACCTTTCAAAGGGTCTGTCTACGTTGACCCTCCGGATTTGCGATACTTTATGGATCCACGTCACAATGATGATCGTTATCGGCTGATACACGATCGTCGAAGCTATATTCATTTGTGTTTTGACCCTGTGTTTGTATAAACCCTCTTTCACCCTTTTCTCAATCATCCATTATCCTCGATCATGGAAATTTTTTCATTTTCAAGCTTCACCCACCTTCTCTCTCACTCTCTCTCTCTCTTATCTTTTTCGATCCAGCAGTCATTTCATCGTCGAAAATGCAGATATAGATTGCTCGTATATGGGAATGATACCCCGTACGGAATCACACCGAACCAAAACGTCGTTAGGCCCGAGAAAAAAAAAATAATACTCAGACATGAAAGAAAAACATAAAATTTTCATGCGACTGGTGCCTAACGAATCTCTCATTACTTTTCATTCTGTTCCATTGTTTTTTTTCCGTATACACCCCGCTTGAAAAATCTCACTGCGAAACAAACAAACAGTTCAATGGCTTTGAACAACTCTGCATCAACTTCACCAACGAGAAGTTGCAGCAGTTCTTCAATCATCACATGTTTGTGCTTGAGCAAGAAGAGTACCAGCGCGAGGGCATTGAATGGTCCTTCATCGATTTCGGAATGGATTTGGCCGCTTGTATCGAACTCATCGAAAAGGTAGCGAGCGTGAAAAACGCGCCGATGAGTCGAAGGCGAAAAAAAAAACAAAAAACAAATCAGTGATATATGCACGTGGATCCGCAGAAAAAACCGAGAGACATGGGATTTTTTGTGCCGAGAAGCTATTTTATAGTCATTAGATCGATTGCTTTTTTTCTTCCACCAAAAACAAAAAAAACTTGTGGACGTCCGCATACAAAAGCGTGAACGTCGCGAGAAGTGCTCCGCTTAACGAGTATCTTTTTTTCTCATCACCTCTCATATGGCTTCATGTTTTTTTCATAGATACGTCATTGAGAATTGTTAGGGTCCCCCCAGCCCCCCAAAAAAAAATCTGTCACTTTTTTCACTACCTGTCACCCAACTGTCATACCTTATTCCTGTACGACAAAAATGAAAAACGATTGCAGATAGGCAATTGTGAAAAACTAGTTCGTAAGATCGTGAGTTATTCCAACGAAATAAAAACACTTATAGACGTGTTTCGAACCCACATCATCCCCCCCTTGGAATGTACGAGCTTCAGAAAAGCAGACCAAAACTGAAGTTTCTTATTCATGAAAAAAAAATGTACGAAATTACCTTGAAATCACGAGATGAAAAAGTTTGCAGACAACTATATTGCATCTCCCTTGTCAAGCACCCTCATTAGTTTTAAGCACACAACTACACACACACATTTACATACATAAAAATCATTGGCAAAGAAAACAGTTAACTGACGGCTGTTTTGCCTGTCTTTCTTTCTTTTGTTTGTTTCCATGCTCGCAATATACAAAAAAAAAAAAAAAAATACATAAATTGCGCTCGCACACGACACGACACAACAACAACAACAACAGTTCAACAGCTTCGAACAGCTGTGCATCAACTTCACGAACGAGAAGTTGCAACAGTTCTTCAATCACCACATGTTCATTCTCGAGCAAGAAGAGTACCAGCGCGAGGGCATTGAATGGACATTCATTGACTTTGGCATGGATCTTCAGCAAACAATTGACCTGATCGAGAAGGTATAACACTCAACGAGACTCGAGATTCCGAGAGGTCAAACTTCGGTCTGTCTGATCGGAGTCCGCCGTTTACGAAAAAAAATTCATTACTCTTACTGACGTGATATAATGGATTCAACGATAAGCAACAAGCAGCGACATACATAAACGAAAATTAACAAAAAAAAACATCAAGCATTATTAACCCTATTGCAGGATACACACTCGATTAACATAACAAGCATGAGTTTTTTTTACCTTCACATTAACACCATAATATTCATCGTTTGAGATTTTTTTTAAATTCATTTCAAAAATTTTTTTCGTACAATCCCTCTTTCACGAATTATCATCCATTCCTCACGTCATCCACTCGTCATCCATAGACAAAAAAAAATGTATCTATCTCCCCCCAACTCAAAAATACCCAATTTTTCAATCAATGTTTTCTCAATATTATCTGTCTAAATGTGATTTTTTTGTTCTTAATGCGTTTTACCCCTGCTATGTGTTCTAAATGTGCTCTCTATCTCTATCTATCTATCCGCATCTCCTGCCTCCACGAGACCGAACGTGTCCAATAAAAAACAAACAAACCAAAAAATGGATGACACGGGTCTCACACGCTGTGCAGCTCAATAGCTTTGAGCAGCTCTGCATCAACTTTACCAACGAGAAGCTCCAGCAATATTTCAATCACTTCATGTTCGTACTCGAGCAGGAAGAGTACGAGAGTGAGGGTATATTGTGGACCTTCATCGATTTTGGTATGGATTTGCAAGCTACCATTGATCTCATCGAGAAGGTAAGGCGCGACCAGCTGGAGCTATAAAACGCTTTAAAAAAAAATCATCTTTTAATTCTATAACTAAGCTCTCGACAGCAGCAGCCAGCAGCAGAAAGCAGCAAAGGAACCATCGCCTCTTTAACTTTTCATTACTTCAATGTCTCCGTGTGTTTGCGTGTGTTTTATTTAGCCTCGTTTGGGCTTGCTCTTTGTCGTTTTTTTTTTAATGGTATCTGTCTCTATATTTTGTCAAGTATGTATATGTTTATGTATACGAGCGCTTTTTGTGTTGATCCACGTCTTTTAAGTATTATCAATATTCAATTATATCTAGTACAATATCATTGCAAAAGTAAGAGTTAAATCTTACTTTTGCAAACGTCGGTATCAGTAAACCAAAAAAAAAGTAAAATTACACATTGTATTTATCTAAAGATGTTGAAATTAGCGAGAGAATTACTGCTACCGACCAAACATTTTATATAACAATCATTTACGAAGCAAGCACTAAAAGTTAGCGGCGGTAAAAAGTTGATACATATATCGTTATTATTATTATTATTATTCATCGAATCGATCACCTGCAAATCACGGCAGTAATATTTATTACGTAGATTCATTGTTGACGAGATCATCCGAGTAACTTTAATATCTTCATGTAAAGTAGAGGCAACTTATATCTTTCGAGCAGCTTTCGGTAGACTGCAAAATATCGTTTTTTTCAATGCAATTCTTATTTGATGTAAAAAAATTTGAAGAAAAAGTGCTGCACTTCGAAATGTTGAAAGAAAAAGAAAAAATTAACTCTGCGTCCACTCGAAGAGGACTTGACTGACTTGTGGTTTTTTTTCTTCTCTCTTTTTTTCACTCAATAGCCCATGGGTATCTTGTCGATTCTTGAGGAAGAGTCTATGTTCCCGAAAGCCACGGACAAGACCTTTGAGGACAAACTTAACAGCAACCACTTGGGCAAGAGTCCCAACTTCTTGAAGCCCAAGCCACCCAAGCCAGGTCAAGTGGCTGCCCACTTCGCCATTGGCCATTATGCCGGTAACGTAAGTATCAAAAACGTCGACGACTCTATTGATCTTTTCATTAAAAAAAAAAAAAAAAACATTTTATCTCATCTCGATCGTTACCATTACCCCCGCCAGGTACCTTACAACATCACCGGCTGGCTGGAAAAGAACAAGGACCCGTTGAACGACACCGTGGTCGACCAGTTCAAGAAGTCCAGCAACAAGCTGCTCGTCGAGATCTTCGCCGACCATCCCGGCCAGTCCGGCGGCGGCGGCAAGGACGCCGGTGGCGGCCGTGGTAAGAAGGGCGGTGGCTTCTCCACCGTATCCTCGTCCTACAAGGAGCAGCTGAACAATCTGATGACCACTCTGAGGGCCACCCAGCCTCACTTCGTCCGTTGCATCATTCCCAACGAGATGAAACAGGCCGGCGTGATCGACTCGCATCTGGTCATGCATCAGCTCACCTGTAACGGTGTGCTCGAGGGCATCCGTATTTGCCGCAAAGGATTCCCCAACAGGATGAACTATCCCGATTTCAAGCTACGGTAAGCTCGCTCCCCCTTCGCAATTTTTGAACCTCCGATGAAGTTAAAAAGGTTTACATAAGTTTTAAGCATAAGTTAAGAGTAATGATTAGACAAAAGACCTATTATTATTTATATGAAAATTGAGACCTAAAAACAAGATGAAGACTGACATGTCGTATGTTTGTTGTACACGCGCAGTTACATGATCTTAGCCCCGGCTGCGATGGCCGCCGAGAGCGACCCCAAGAAAGCCGCTCAGGCCTGCTTCGATTCGTGCGAACTCGATCCGGACATGTACAGGATTGGTCACACCAAGGCTAGTTGAAACAAACAATCCCCCTATCAATTCCCCTCAATGTAGTTAAAACAACATTTAAAAACCAAACGGCGTGTTTTTAAAAAAAAAAAGTATCTTTCGTACATTAAAAAGTAAAACAAAAACCATCCAAATCAAACGAGTAGATCCCCTTTCAATAGAGATTAATCAAATTGTCATTCCTTTAGAGATACATTGTTAGCGTTTTGTTGTACTCCCCCCCCCCCCCCCCCCNACTTTAGATTTTTTACACACGTATCCCATCATGTTGCTGTTCGCACATACTTCGCCATTGTATTATTAGAAAAAATTGAATTGACCCCCCCAACTTTCCTCTTCTTTTTTTTTTTTGTTGCTGGATTGTCATTATATATCAGCGTAGTTACGTTTTTCTATCCTCGCACTCGCTGTATTTTGAAATACCCTTTTTTATTGTGCCAACACCACACATCCGCTAGAATCGACAATAATAATTAAAAAAAAAAAGAAAAAAATTACCATCGCGTCGCACGTAGCTCTTGATTTTAATCATTATTTTTTTTTTCCTCTTCGATCCAATGCCACGGCAAAAAACACGTGCGCACACATGCTGTATACATCGATTGGTTTATTTATAATACATAAATAGCGTAGAGCGTAAAAATTCATTTGCGAATGTGCAAGCGTAGTTATGTTGATACCACACCTGTTTATTGTCCTCGTACGATTATTATTTATTTATTTATTTATTTTCTATTTACTTTGTATCCAACTCATTCTGTCATTGCCCAATTTCGAATTTACAAGAGAGGGAGCAAGCTGAGAGATGACGGACCGAAGCGGAACTGAAGCAGCACCAGTGGATCCGAATGGAATTATAGTTTACCCTTATTTTTGAATTATTATTAGCATTGAATCCCGTCATATTGTGGTGGTAGTAGTTTTTGTGACACCTCCCCTCTGAAACCTTCATTTAGATGATACACTTATACGTAGCCACATTTAATCGTATATTATGATCTTAGTCGTAGTTACCTCGTAGCATAATTATTAGTCTAGTCAATGTAATATGATTAATTTAATAGTAATTATCTGTAATTAGTACCAGAATCCAAGCACTAATCCGTATATATGACTTTTTTTTGTCGTTGTTTGGGCCTTTATCTCTATTTTATGTGCCTCTGTGAATCCATCACCACCACCAACATCAACAACCCTTTAGGTACAAAATCATTGCACCAGCCGCATGCGAGAAGGCCGGCGGCGATCCAAAGAAATGCGCCGAGGCAATTCTGGACGGCTCCGGATTAGATCCCGATCAGTTCCGTCTTGGACACACCAAGGCACGGTTTATCATGTCTATCCATTTAGTTGTTCTTCTTTTTTTTTGTTGTTTCATCAGCTACAGCACAGCCGCCAAAGATCGAAAATATGCGCCTTGACGTTTTTTCTTTTTTTTTTTTGTTATATATGTGTAAATTAATCCCAAGTATGCACACGAGCCCAAATTGACGGGCCTCCTTCTAATTGTTTGTGTGATAGCAATTTGAGCGACACGACCTTCGGTAGAGCGATATACACGTACTTCATATGCGCTATTAGATTTCGCCACCCGACTGCACATTCGTATTGATGCATTGATTTTTTTTATATTTATACACAGCATGAGTACATTATATACCCACAAAACGATTTAGGTTCAAAACAAGTAGTACCTAAGAACCTTAATATAATACATAATCATTTATGTATTACACATGATTATATATTTATATTGAATCGACGAAGTATTTGGACTGAAATATTTCATTTTTGATTCACACTGTAATTTGATACAGCTCGAAAAAAAAACCCAAATGCTTCGTCCCATGCAAAACAAATTTACAACGATACACATATATTCAACAACGATATCGTGTTTTTTTTTCTCTTCCATTCGTGCGTCCGAAACACCACAACCAACGTGACCACCACGAATGCACTGACACATTTTTGCACGCACACACTGCTTACCAACCAAAAAAAAAAAAACCAAAAAAAAAAAAAAATAANAAAAAAAACAGATACAAAATTCTGTGCGCCAAGAAAATCACCAACAGCATGGATCCTAAGAGAGCCGCGCAAATCGTGCTCGAGGAATACGCGCCCGACGATCAATACCGTCTGGGTGCCACCAAGGTACACACGCACACTAATACAAATACGCACACACACTCGCGTGGCGATGACGAAAAATCATCGTCGTCGGCTTGCGAGCTCTCGAGCTTGCGTGACGTGGCATTTAATTTTTTTTTTTTTTTTCATTTTGACACCCGACTAATTCGATCGTTAATTCCAAAGTACAAACCGAATACCTGTGTGTGACTAATAGCCCGTCTTTTTTTTTCTTAACTGTGTGAAACGCGGGGACTAAAAAAAAAAATCCAACGATCCCAAACGCTTATTGGAATTTCAGCGAGTCAGCAAAAAAGAAAAACACATTTATCAGGGAAAAAAGATCATTTTCCCCCTCATTTAAGCTGTACGACACGGCGAGATATTTGAATTACGCACGGCGAGGCGCTTCTCGATTAAGCGTGGCTATGTTTTTTTTTCACGCTCGCGCTCTAGTGAGAATGTCAAGGTTACGACCGTAATCTTTTTCCTCTGAGTAACAGATATACAAATATCTCGCCGTGGCTTCTAAAAGCGTTTCGATGCCTAAAATTTACATCGCTTTACGATACCTCTAATACGTACATGAAATCGATGTATTTTTCCAAAGTTTGTCTACTAACAAATCGTTTTTTTTTGTAAAACAAAAAACTGTACAACCGCTACAGTACACATAAATACGGCAGTTTGCACGGGCTCCTTATTATTTTTCTTTTTTTTTTCTGTATAAATATAAATCCGCAACGCGATTTGTGTAACTTTTGCAGCGTCGAGCAACTACGTTCGTGCAACGATTTCGTACAACTCTTGCATTTACAAAACTACTTCGATAATATATATTTTTGGCACTTCGGGGAACGCGCGCGCGCGAGCGCGAAAAGCTACGCGGCGTTAAATCACCCACAACATCGCTCGCTTCGAAAGTTTAAAATGTTTTCCACAAATATTTCTCGACAAATTGTACGTGACGAAATATCAAACTGGCTCGCGCGCGCGGCGCTCTTATAAAATAACGCGATTCACATCTGATGCAAACTGCCGGGGTCAAAAAATCCAACAGAAAAAAGAAATGCCAAAAACTAACGCAATGTTCACTGAACGATCGATATAGGTATTCTTCCGCGCCGGAGTGCTCGGTCAGATGGAGGAGTTCCGTGACGAGCGTCTGTCCAAGATCATGTCCTGGATGCAGGCCTACGCCCGCGGTTATCTGGCCAGGAAGGACTTCAAGGCGCTGCAGGAGCAGCGTCTTGCCCTCCAGGTCGTCCAGAGGAATCTGCGCAGATACCTCAAGCTGCGCACCTGGCCCTGGTGGAAATTGTGGCAGAAGGTCAGGCCACTCCTCAACGCCACTCGCATTGAAGACGAGCTTATTGTGAGTATTGAGACGACGACGACGTTGAATGACGATGACGATGAGAGACGCCGGGTATGAAATTTTTCACCGCTGCTGCTGCTGATCATTGACGATCGAGACAGTCAGTTTTTTCATTCATCGCTACAGACGAGCGCGCGGGGGGGGGGGCTGCTAATAATAAACCAATTCAGCAGGCATTAATCAATCGTCGCCGGATATTCGACGACCATAAAAGTGCAATTTTCCGTAAACACATACATATTTACAAAAAAAAGCCATGGCTCGCAAACTGTTTCGCAGCAGCTTTTCTGCTGCTGGAATGTTGCTTGTTGTCGAAATTTTTTTTATTATTAGCACTTGGCCGTAAACTAATAGCCACGCACTGGAAAAAGAACCGTTGAAAAAAAAAAAATTTCTCCGTTCTCCATGGGCACAGCACATCCTACCTATTTTTAGAGCGACTCTCTTAATCGCGCTTAAAGCGCTTATAGGATTGGGGGGTTTATAAATATTTTTCGCGCGTTGCGAAGCTTTTTCGAGCTTTTTCGGGCTAGCGAGGTGGGGAATCGTATTAAAGTGCGCGAGAGTGTGAGAAGATTATTGCGATATTATAACGCGAATATCTATGACTGTGCGTGCGTGTGTTAGTATAGTGGAGCGGAGGAGGGTGGGTAGAAAAGTTCCGCGGTATCGGCGAGTCGAGCGCAGTTCTTAACTGGCTATCGATAGCGGCGCGCGACACTTTAGCAGCGGCTATTAAATAGCCCAGCCATAGAATTTGTGCTTTAAATTAAATTTTTTTCTTTTTTATACTTCACTTCGAATCAACCTCACGAACGAACTCACAAACGAATCATTGCCTTACACATCGAGTTTAGCTTTTTTATCTTTTAATTTTTTGTGCCTTTCGAACCATACACCGCGAGTGCGCGAGTTTAATCGAGTTTTTATATTAAATAAATACAATTGTACACGTTCATTCCAATCGAAGACTGTCGATAAATAATCAAGTGTGCTTGTGGTGTGATACGAATAGTTTTTTGGAATCAAAAGCTATACAGGAAAAAAAAAATTTCATACCTCTTCTCTCTCTCGCTCTCGTTGGGGAAATTTGTTGTGCGTGAACGCGGAGAGATATCATGGCTGACGCGAGCGCTGAATTGCAGGCTATGGAGGAGAAGGCGAGAAAGTACCAGGAGGCCTTCGAGCGCGAGGAGAAGATGCGCATCGAATTGGAGGAGCTCAACACCAAACTCCTGGAAGAGAAGACCCATCTGCTCAAGGGTCTCGACAGCGAGAAGGGAGCCCTCGCCGAGTACCAAGAGAAGGCGCTCAAGCTCGGTGCTCAGAAGGCCGATCTCGAATCTCAACTCGCTGTAAGTACAAGAGCTTATTTCTTATTATTAAATTCCTACATTTCACGGCCTATTAATATGGTGATTCTCAAAAAAAGAAAAAGAGTTATTATACGCGCTCGAATCGCGAAACTATCGATGGAAAATTTTCTGTACAACAAATGATCGAGCCATTGGAATTCGTTTCCTGGTCGAATTTTTATTTCCGCGGCCGAAAAGTTGTGCAAGTCCGTCTCTATTCGACGTAAAAGGCCGCCGCGTGTCGATAGAAAGAGGCCTCGAGGGAAAAATTCTCGAGGCGCCGATTGGGCAAATCGTCATTTTGTCGATCTATGCATATGCCTACATCGCGAGTCGAAATCGGAACGTTGCAAAGAACTTGCACAATTATTTTCAGCCTTGCGAACGTTGATGATACTTGGCGTTCCGATCGATTGGCGCCGATTATACATATGTACGCGCGGGGTTATTAGTCAAAACATACAAATGAGATTCGCGCAGAAATTCGAGAAGCTGTTTGTTTCCACAAAAACCTCTCGGGACTGCAAATATGGATTTCCAGCGTCGGAAAAAAGATTACAAACACACGCATACGATCCCCCGCAAAAATTTGCAAAACACATGCTTATTATACTCGGCGGAAATCGCGGTAATAATAGAGCTCGTTAATCTCCTATACGCATATACATCACTGGCGCAGTAGTACGAGTCGACGTCGGTGTCGGCGGTGGCGCCTGTCCCGCGCGACACACATCCATACGCGTTTGTAACGCGATGCGGTAATTTTTCCGAGCGAAAAAATAAAGATCGAGAAAGAAATCAAGAATTCATCGATCAACGCTCCTAAATATATATCGCGCGTAACCCTTGGCCGTTCTAAATCTGTCAAAAAAAAAAAAACGCGTGAAAGAAGCGACGAGATCATTATTAGATGGCACTTTCATTCTCCAGCCGGGGACTTAGTCACGACTTACGGATTTAGATCTCGCGGGCTGGAGCTTTTATCGTGACGTAATCTCTCGAGTGGAATTTCGAAACTCGATACTTACAATTTTTTTTTTCTTCGTGTCTCGTACGCGTGCACTTGTGAAAATTCGTGTCGACTCGCGGATTTACGCATCGCTACGCGCGAATAATTCCAGGTTACATTCGAAATTAGCCACCGCTGCTACTGCCGCTGCACTTGCTCGGGTCAATATTATTAATAGTCGATTTGCACTTGCGGACAGAGTCGAAGCGACGGCTCTTCCTTCAACACGTGTGTATGTGTGGGTAGGCAAGCTGTGTTCTGCACTCGTCAACTCGAGTAAACGCATATCTGGCAGTGACGACGATCGCACACTGTCGCGCATCGATTCTCGCGCGGCAATTCGTCATACAGGCTTGCGCAAAAACTTTTGATAAATTCCAATCCACGCCTGCATACTTATCTGTATATATGCTCGCGCAGAAGAAGTCGCATTAATCAAAGCGATGACGACGACGCTGGCGAGAGGAGCTTTAATTAATGCCTTTGCGCCAGTTATGCGTTATGTGTGTACACACATTTTCGAATCGAATTTTGGCTCCAGGCAGAACTTCAGCACATGTGCACTTGCGAATCGGGCTAATATTAGTCGCATACGAAGTCGAGCTTTTTTGAAAAACGCGCGTGCTCTCGATATTAAACGATCCGCGAGGCCTTTAATTTCCCGTGGAAAAGGTTCAAAGTCGATAAGTCGTGCGTGTGCGCGCACGACCTCAATGGCGACAATTATTATTACTCGCTATCCGTTATTAATGCCCATTGATTCGCGACTGCTGTATATCATCGTTAATGGCGCGCCTTTTACGGTCGTGTCCTAATTGGGCCGCCACTTGACAAAGTGTCAAATCGTATTTTTGAGAATCACCAGGCGTGAATCGACGTATCGTTATGTAGTTACGGTAGTTACGAAATATCACGCTTCCGTATTTAGGACATCACCGACCGCTTCCAACAAGAAGAGGAGGCTCGCAACAGTCTCTTCCAGACCAAGAAGAAGCTCGAACAAGAGATCTCTGGCCTGAAAAAAGACTTGGAAGATCTGGAGCTCACCATCCAGAAGTCCGAGCAGGACAAAGCCACCAAGGACCACCAGATTCGCAATCTCAACGACGAGATCGCCCACCAGGACGAGCTCATCAACAAGCTGAACAAGGAGAAGAAGAACCAGGGCGAGATCAATCAGAAGACAGCCGAGGAGCTGCAGGCGGCCGAGGACAAGGTCAACCACTTGAACAAGGTCAAGTTGAAGCTCGAGCAGACCCTCGACGAGCTCGAAGACACACTCGAGCGCGAAAAGAAAGCACGGTTGGTTATTCTTTTTTTTTTGGAAGTTGGAGTTGATCGAAGATCGACGTTTGCTCATGTAAATTTTTTTTCTTTTTTTAATCAACAGCGCTGACGTCGAGAAAGCCAAGAGGAAGGTCGAGGGCGACTTGAAGCTCACCCAGGAGGCCGTGGCCGACTTGGAGCGCAACAAGAAGGAGCTCGAACAGACCATCCAGCGCAAGGACAAGGAGCTGTCCTCGCTGACGGCCAAGCTCGAGGACGAGCAGGCGCTCGTCGGCAAGCAACAGAAGCAGGTCAAGGAGCTCCAGGCCCGCATCGAGGAGCTCGAGGAGGAGGTCGAGGCCGAGCGTCAAGCCCGCGCCAAGGCTGAGAAACAACGCTCAGATCTCGCACGCGAGCTCGAGGAGTTGGGCGAGCGTCTTGAAGAGGCCGGTGGTGCTACTTCGGCACAGATCGAGCTCAACAAGAAGCGCGAGGCCGAGCTGAGCAAGCTCAGGAGGGACCTCGAGGAGGCCAACATCCAGCACGAGTCGGCACTGGCCATTCTCCGCAAGAAGCACAACGACGCCGTCGCCGAGATGGGCGAGCAAATCGACCAGCTCAACAAGATCAAGGCTAGGTAAGAGAACGAGATAGACGAGATCATTGGATCGCAAAAAAAAAAAAAATAAATAAATTATCGAATCGTTGAGACGCGTTAGAGTTCGGTACTTTTGGTCTTACGATGGGTCATTGTTATATTTAATCGAATCGTTTTTCGTGTAGGGCCGAAAAGGGCCGCAACGACATCCACGTCGAGCTGAACAATGCTCGGGCGGCCAACGACGGAATCTGCCGTGAGAAGGTACACGCACGTGAATGTGTCCCTGATCGTTCGTGTATATACTCATACCTACCCTTTGTCGTTTTTCATATTATGTTATACGATTTTTATTTTGTCACTAATTCCGATTATTCCCCCCCCCCTTTTTTTTACAATTCGTCGCGATGTTAGCCGAAGCAGCCGAAGAATACGATCGACATTTATTGACTAAAAAATACCACACGTTATACCACATGTTTGTTAACCAACCCGAATTTTTCTTTCCATCGACCGTTAATAGGATTGAGAAGGAGAAGGTGCAGTACTTCAGCGAGCTGAACGATATGCGCGCCTCGGTCGACCACCTCAGCAACGAGAAGGTATAATTCCGCAACAATTTTTCCCATTTACAGCTTGCATAAACGCAATCTATGCGCAGTCAACGTGCTACTAACCGCTATATATAATAAATATAACGCAGAGAGCCAAGAAGCTCGACGTCGTCGACCCGCTGCCGATCTTCTGCGTCATTACCATTGTCTCTTGTATCCTCGTAATCACTCTCAACCCGATTTTACCCATGATCCTTTTCGTGCTTTTGCTTCTACTTGCCGTTGTGTGTCATTGTTACAACTGGCCCGTCCGGACGATTCTGACTGATCGCTGCGTTTTGTGTTGTTACGACGAACAGGCGGCCCAGGAGAAGATCGCCAAGCAGCTGCAGCACCAGCTGAACGAGGCCCAGGGCAAGATCGAGGAGCTGACGCGCACCGTCAACGACTTCGACGCCGCCAAGAAGAAGCTCTCCATCGAGAACAGCGACTTACTCCGCCAACTCGAGGAAGCCGAATCTCAGGTCAATCAGCTGTCGAAGATCAAGATCTCGCTCACGACTCAGCTCGAGGACACCAAGAGGCTGGCCGACGAGGAGGGACGCGAGCGCGCCACCCTGCTCGGCAAGTTCCGCAATCTCGAGCACGACCTCGACAACATCCGCGAGCAAGTGGAGGAGGAGGCCGAGGGCAAGGCCGATCTCCAGAGGCAGTTGAGCAAGGCCAATGCCGAGGCACAGCTGTGGCGCACCAAGTACGAGAGCGAGGGTGTCGCCAAGGCCGAGGAGCTGGAGGAGGCCAAGCGCAAGCTGCAGTGCCGCCTCGCCGAGGCCGAGGAGACCATCGAGTCGCTCAACCAGAAGGTCATCGCCCTGGAGAAGACCAAGCAGCGCCTGGCCACCGAGGTCGAGGATCTGCAACTGGAGGTCGACCGTTGCACGGCCATCGCCAACGCCGCCGAGAAGAAACAGAAGGCCTTCGACAAGATCATCGGCGAGTGGAAGCTCAAGGTCGACGATCTGGCCGCAGAGTTGGACGCCTCGCAGAAGGAGTGCCGCAACTACAGCACCGAGCTGTTCAGACTGAAGGGCGCCTACGAGGAGAGCCAGGAACAGCTGGAGGCGGTGCGCCGCGAGAACAAGAATCTGGCCGACGAGGTCAAGGACCTGCTCGACCAGATCGGCGAGGGTGGACGCAACATCCACGAGATCGAGAAGGCCAGGAAGCGCTTGGAGGCCGAGAAGGACGAGCTCCAGGCCGCCCTCGAGGAAGCTGAGGCTGCCCTCGAACAAGAGGAGAACAAGGTGCTGAGAAGCCAGCTGGAGCTGAGCCAGGTGCGCCAGGAGATCGACAGGCGCATCGCCGAGAAGGAGGAGGAGTTCGAGAACACCAGGAAGAACCACCAGCGCGCCCTGGACTCGATGCAGGCGTCGCTCGAGGCCGAGGCCAAGGGCAAGGCCGAGGCACTGCGCATGAAGAAGAAGCTCGAGGCCGACATCAACGAGCTCGAGATCGCCCTCGACCACGCCAACAAGGCCAACGCCGAGGCCCAGAAGAACATCAAGCGCTACCAGCAGCAGCTCAAGGACGTGCAGTCCGCCCTCGAGGAGGAGCAGAGAGCCCGCGACGAGGCGCGCGAGCTCTTGGGCATCAGCGAGCGTCGCGCCAACGCGCTGCAGAACGAGCTCGAGGAGAGCCGCCAGCTGCTGGAGCAGGCCGACCGTGGCCGCCGACAGGCCGAGCAGGAGCTCGCCGACGCGCACGAGCAGCTGAACGAGCTCGCCGCCCAGAACGCCAGCATCTCGGCGGCCAAGCGCAAGCTCGAGGCCGAGCTGCAGACTCTGCACTCGGACCTTGACGAGCTGCTGAACGAGGCCAAGAACAGCGAGGAGAAGGCCAAGAAGGCCATGGTCGACGCCGCCCGATTGGCCGACGAGCTCAGAGCCGAGCAGGATCACGCCCAGAACCAGGAGAAGCTGCGCAAGGCCCTCGAGACGCAGATCAAGGAGCTCCAGGTGCGCCTCGACGAGGCCGAGGCCAACGCCCTCAAGGGCGGCAAGAAGGCCATCCAGAAGCTGGAGCAGCGCGTGCGCGAGCTCGAGAACGAGCTCGACGGCGAGCAGAGACGTCACGCCGACGCCCAGAAGAATCTGCGCAAGAGCGAGCGACGCATCAAGGAGCTGGCGTTCCAGGCCGACGAGGATCGCAAGAATCACGAGCGCATGCAGGACCTCGTGGACAAACTCCAACAGAAGATCAAGACGTACAAGCGACAGATCGAGGAGGCCGAGGAGATCGCCGCCCTGAATCTCGCGAAATTCCGCAAGGCCCAGCAGGAGCTGGAGGAGGCCGAGGAGCGAGCGGACCTCGCCGAGCAGGCGATCGCCAAGTTCCGGACCAAGGGACGCGGTGGAAGCGCGGCTCGTGGACTCAGCCCAGCGGTAAGTGTCTCACGCCTAATTTAGATTATGATTAACTCTTTTATCTTTCTTATTTTCAACTCTATTTATATGATTAATGAATATTCTCTATTCTTTTTTCGTTCGATTGCGACCTCTACCTTACACCCCCGACGCGCTGTTTTATATATAAATATAAAAATATAGGGCTTTGATTTTGACGAGTTCGAGGAAATCGACGATGACGAGGAACAGGTTAGACGACGGAGATAAATGTGAAACACAAAAAAAATGATCGTGCATCAGTCGTGTTGTATTATTACTCTCATTTTTTATATTATGTGACGATCGCCTCATTCGTACTCGAGAATCAAAAAAAAATATATTTCGCTCCCACTTCGATTATGAACGTTTTAATATCGAGAATCAAAGACATAGCATAAACTTCTTATCATATTTTTATGTATTGTATACACGATAAAAGCAGCCGAGTAGACATCTCTCATTTATGTGTCCCATTTGTGTATTATAGCCCGCCGGTCCCGCCGGACAAAAGGCACAAGCCCGCAAATCAGAATAAAAGGGCCGCGCCCCGGTTCATGTAAGTTCTCATTGGTATCGCACGACTCTCTATCTCTATCTCGTACCCCCGATCTAATTGTGATCAAGCCCATGATTAAAATTACAAAAAAGCTCCGAAAAAGCTCGCTACGTATGAGCTTTTTTTTGTCATAAAACACTTTTATATATATCTGTTGTACTATCTGTTAAGTGTTGACCGATCATTCCAATACACGATTGTGTTTATTTTTCTATTATGTGTCACCGATCAAAAAACGTATCTGATACTACGTGTTTGTATCACCGTTAACTATCATTGAGTTTTTTTTTACAAAACCTAGTCGTAACAAAAGCGAATCATTATTGTGCCCCTCATTGGACATTCATTCTGAAATACTCTCATTGTCAAGAGCGCAATATTTACAAACGGACATTGGACTCTCCTTTCTCATTTCTCGACGATTATATGATCACAAAAAAGTCATCAACGTACCAACAACGAAAATTTTGTGATTACTCTGATTAACTCTCACTAAAAATGTTTACAAATAGACATGAGATACATACGCACCCTCGCAACTCACCATCGTGTAAATAATTTCAACAAATATTATCAACGTGACTTATCAAGAGCACCTCTATATAAATAATTATATATGTCTACATGAACAATCTCGTTTTTACACGAGAGTACATATAATTTCTTTGATTGTTTGTCTCGCCGTAATAATAATTATCATTGTCTCAACTTTGTTCTCTCACGACTCAACGACTAATGAAAAACTCGTTCGATTTTTGCAGCCACACCGAGCGATGAACAAACCCCAGTTCGATGGTTCCGCATTCCCACCAAGGTTCGACCTCATGCCTGACTCAGATCTGTAACCGAGCCATCGATAACGCCAAGTAAAAAAGGAAAGAGAAGAGAGTGAAAAAAAAACAAACTCGCCCCAACATCTCGAGTGTTATTTATTAAATAATATTTTAAGAATGAGAGTATATATAATAATTTAAGCGTCAATGCGTATAATATAACGTCGTCGCAGTCTCATCATCTCACACATCCATAAAGAAGCAAATATTTACAAAAAAAAAAAAAATAATAATGATAAGGATTATTACATTTGCATACCGATCGAAAAGGATATATAAAAAAAAAAAAGAAAAAAACTATAATGTTTATTTATGAAGATGATGACGGAATATCGCACCAAGCACTACACATTTATGAAATACGTAAAATTTTAATAATTTTTAGACTACTTTATGTAATGATTGTTTTCACACCACATGCCACACACGCAGAAGTCCATAATTCATCGAATTCAATAATCCTCCATCAATGTCGCGTTAATACACATTTGTTATTATTATTATTACTACTATTATTTATTATAATTATACTTATTATTACTTATCATTAGACCATTACCAATTGTTGAACGATATTATAAAAAAAAATGGAAAAATATGAAATTACACATATTATACAGAGAATTAAAAAGAAAAACGAGACGTTTCGATCGGAAGGATAATGCGGCTCATTCCGCGCTCCTCCCGAAGTTGCTCTTTTTTGTGAGGAGGAGCGGGGGAGCGGTCCGCCATTATCGTGCGAGGATATCGCCCAAAGAGAATAGAAAAAATGAGAAAAAATGTAAGCACGCGAGAGCAGAATTTCATCCAAAACATATAATATAAATATAAAATATATATTTATTTGCATTATATCGTTGAATTTTTAATAAAAGGAAATACGTTACGTTATCATAATAATAATGAATGTTATCTATTATCACCCACTTTACAATTTATACGATATTAATTATATGATACCTTGCCACGTGGGGGGAAATCGAGGGGAAAAAATTTTTTTCAAATATCTATGGGACGACCAGAGGCTATGAAGAGATTTTATTATACATAAACATTACGTTATTATATGTTTAAAGATAGGGGGAAATACGTGTTAAATAGATAAAGCAAATGGGGATTTGTGTAAATGCTGAGGTCCTATATAAAAGACGCGCGTCCGCGAGGAGCCCATGACCTTTTCTTCAAATATACAGAATGACAATGATATACTATATAGTAAAAAAAGAAAGTTTAAAAAACGTTTTTAATATTATAATATTTATATAGACTTAAAGTAAGCCCGACGTATGCGAGATTCGGACGAGAAAAAATAAAGAAGAGAAAAGAGAGAGAGAGAGAGAAACAGAGACAGAAATTAATATACTCCAATGATCAAGAAAAATCAAAAATTTACCTTTGACATACAACGCGTACGTCGACGGCGGCAACAACGACCATATATAATGCAATTAATATCATTTGAAGAAAAGCCGGAGGATGGAACGAAGAGAAAAATCGCGCGCAAATTCACCGAGTCCACGCGCGTTCTTTTATGGGCCCACGAAGCTGATCTATGTTTCTTTGATTTTTTCTTTTTTTCATCGCGACTATTTTTTCTTTGGGATCGAGAGAGAGAGCAATCGTACATTTATTTATTCATATGCATGCATGATCATTCAATTATTACCGAGAGTTAAAGAGAAGACAGAAAAAACTGTACATGCGGGAGTTTCTACATTCTGAATGTGAGATATAAGCGTCATATATATTATTATTCTTATTATAATTATAATTATAATTAATATTACAACTATTGTAGCTCATGACAAGTGTTTATATATGCGCATCTATGTGTATCGTAACATACATGCTTATATGTATATCAATATGAATGTTATGATAGAAAAAAGAAAATCAGCTTCTGCGTATCCAGAGGCAGAAATTATTCGCACCGATTATCATTACATACACTGCGAAAGCATCATCGTCGTTATTATTATTGTTTTACTCGTCTCGAAGAAAGAAAAAAAACTGTGTCGTCGAAAAAGAAAGAAAGAAATCGAAGAAAGAGAGAAACACAACAACTACTATCCTATCGTAAATAAAGTAATTTTAATTTATAAAGAAAAACGAAATATGTATTTATTAAAGTAAATAAGCAATAAATAAAGTTAAGAACTTAAACGCTGCAGATTTATTTTTTTGCTCTGACTCTGGTGAATTATTTCTCTCTCTCTTGTGCGAGCTAGTAAAAAATTTAATCGAGAAGATAGGATCGCATTTGCATTCGATGTTGCATCGAGTTGGAAAAAGGAATAAAAAGTAAACTCGATCGCTTTTAACAAAAAAAAACAATGTACTCGTACACGAATGACGTAAAAAAATACAGGCAAACCCCGTTATCCGCGGATTCGTTATCCGCGATTCTTCGTATCCGCAGTACCCCTATTTGTGACCCAAATTCAGTATCCGCGGTTTTTTTCTGGAGGTTAAAATTTTGTGCGGTCAAATTTAAAAATTTTTTTATTAATTTTTATTTAATTATGTCTCGTCCAACACCAAAAATAAACAGTTTCAATCGAAAAAAAGCGCGATAGAAAAGTTCTTAATTTGGTCGAACAGATCAAAATTCTCGACGCGTTGGCATCTGGTGAAAAAGTTGCTACAATCGCAAGAAGATTCAACGTCAACGAGTCTTCGATCAGAACAATCAGACAACGAGAAAAAAACTCGAGAGACTGCAAAATCTTTGGGGAAACATGCAGAACAATGCAAAATAAATCATAATTAAAATTTTAGCTGATGCAGAAAAACTCATTGAATGAACCATAAATCATGATCCAATAATGACTCGTAACCTTCAATTCAAGCAAGATATAACAAAATCATTGCAATGTTATGAAAGTTTATACAAAGAGTTGATGCACAGAGCGAAGCAAAAAAGTTTGACCAAGTATTTTACTCGAAAATAAATAAATACTTTCATTTTTCATAAGAAAAAAGGTGTTTTACTCTTTCGTACATTGACATTTCAGCTGGACGAGGAACCGAACCCCCCTTTTCCCATTAGAACAATGCTTCGGTATCCGCGGTTTCGGTATACGCGGTACTTTTTCGGAACCGAACCCCCGCGGATAACGGGGTTTGACTGTACTGCAAAATATGATCATCGCCAACAGCTTTGTCCCGTATCTGCCTGGCAAACGCGCCACATATCCTCGTTCTTCAGTATCTCGATGATAATTTCGCAGCAGAGAATCGGCAGTCGGCCGACTCGACGACGGCTTCGTGCTCGCGTCTTCCTCGACGCCGAGCTCGTCTTTGTAGCCGCGGCGAGCCACGAAGCCGATGAACGACCATGACGCGTAAATTGTGAATTCATCATTATTGATGGAATCCAAGAGAAGACGCTCGATCTCTTCGGTCCGAAAAATGTCCCGCAGGTAAGGAAATTGTTTCTTCCGATCGCTGATCACGGTAATGATAACCTGACGGATGAATGCGAGCCGCTCACCTTCGATCTCCCAATTGACGTTCTCTCGTAAGCTCTTCAATTGTTTCGAGTCGTCGGACGGGGACATTTTCCTGTGCACTCGCACATACGAACACGAACACAAACACAAACACAATCGCTAAATTATTAAAATTATTAATTTTTGTACGATAATCACTTGGCTAGAATCGATGCGATCTTGCTTTCTTGTTCACACTGCGACGTCGTATAAACACTCACTACATGCACAAACACATACGTGTAAAAATGTGCATGAAGCGCCTTATGTGTCAGCCTATGTATTTTTATAGGTTCGATTGACGAGAAGTACAATAGAGTATAAACTTTTTTCTCTTACTAATAACTGACATGACGGTTTAGTAACACAAACGAGGCGTTGCAAGTTTACGCGTACAGGTTCACTGTCAATAAGCCCGCCAAAAACGTCAGCATCTTAAGAATTGAAAAATAACACGAGACAGCGTGGCGCTGCGGTATTTCATGCTACAATCTCACGGACCCACGATTATCGCGTTCGTTTTCTTCTTCTTCTTTTTTCTTTGGCCTTGTGAGCGCTGTACAGCGCCCCCGAACTGACAAACAAGAATGAATGACAAACAGGAGTGCATGACTCCCTTTCACAACTATGGTGATAATCGTCTACCTGTATCGTTCGTAATAATATCAACATTTTAGGAAAAGTACATTTCACGAATATAATTTTTATTAGAAAAAAATTTTAAGAGTCGGATTTTTTAGGGAAAAGGATTATGAAAAATGGATCAATATTAAAATCGATAATATTTTTAAAAATTTATTCATTTAAATATAAGTATAGAAAATTAACAACGTCTGATTATAAAAAATATTGTAAATGTTTATGCATCTGCCAAGCAAATATGATATAAATCTTCGTTCATCATCTTGCTAAGGATTTCTTCACAGCAGATAATCGGCAGTCGGCAGCGCATGAGATTCATAAAAGGATCCAGTGCCCAACGCCGGAAAAATCCTCTAGACATCATCTCGCATAGACGCAACTGACAAGCCTCTTTAACTTCTTCGGGAAGTATCCAAAGATGATCAAATCTCGCAAATTTAAAGTAGTCCTCATATGTCAGTAGTTTTTCTTCCTCTTCGAGTGTTAACTTGCTCCACTCGTAGAGCGATAGACTCGGGTCGTTATCCCTTATCATAATCTCTTTCGCTTTGCTCACGAACTCCTCGTCCTCGTACCAACATTTATCCTGATTCGACGGCTTCTCGAACAAATTTCGTTCAGCGAAGAATTTCATGATCGTCAGGGCGTCGCTTCGACTAAACTCGTATCCTCTTTGCTCAAGATTTTCAGCGATGGACAGTAGGCTAGACGCCATTATCAATTTAAAATTAGCATAAATACTGCTGAAGACTCGCGTATCCAACCTCTCGGCGAAGTCACTCGCGGTGGGGAAAACGAAGCTCGACAGATCGGCCCCGTGATCCAAGAGTATATCGACCACGCGAGGAACCAGATTTTCCACGGCCCATCGAAGAGGTGTCCGGCCCAATTTGTCCACGACTTCGAGCTGCGCCAGCCGAGGAAACATCACTAACAACTCGTCTCGACTCGAGGCTATCTTGCAAATCATATGCAGTGGTGTCCTCCCTCCCTCATTAACCAGATTCAGATCGGCGCCTCTTTCCAGAAGCAATTTAATCAACTGTGGATTGCCGGTAAATCGTTCGAGGTGGTATAAAACCAAGTGCAATGGTGTATTACCTAACTTGTCCACGGCGTCGACTTGAACCTTCAACTGTCGTTCGTCGCAGATATCGAAGAATAGTTTCGCCATGCCATCGTTTTCGTCGTCTCTTTTGCAGCAAATGGTATGCAGAGGAGTCATACCATCATTAGCCGCTAAATTTGCATTTGCGCCTCTTCTCAGCAGCTTTTCGACCACCTTCTTGTTACCCCAATCCACAGCATAGTGCAACGGTGTATTACCCTCCTTGTCCTGAACATCGACTCGACCCGTCTGCTGTCGTTCGTCCCAGATCTCGAAGAACATCTCCACCAATTCGTCTTCGTCGTCGTCGTCGTCATACATGCTAATAAGGTGCAGAGGAGTCTCTCCGACGTTGTTTGCTAAACATTGATCAGCGCCTCTTCTCAATAGCAATTCGACCAGCATATTGTTGTGGCATTCCAAAGCCAAAAGTAGCGGTGTGTTGCCGGACTTGTCCCGGGCGTCGACTTGAGTCGTCGTATGCTGTTGTTCGTCCCAAATCTCGAAGAACATCTCCACCAAGTCTTGGTCATCGTCGTCTTTATACTCGCTAATGAGGTGTAGAGGAGTGTATCCATCATTGTAGGCTATATTTAGATGCACGCCTCTTTTCACTAACAATTCGACCAGCTGTCTGTTGCGGTTTATTAATGCCTCGTGCAACGGCGTATTACCTTCCTTGTCCCGAGCATCGACCAGCACTGTCTGCCCTAGATCGTCGCAGGTCTTGAAGAATAGCTCGGCTAGGCCTTGACCGTAATCTCTCTTGTGAATGATGTGCAGAGGGGTCCATCCTTTCGCATTGGCTATATTGGGGTTGGCGCCTCTTCTCAATAGCAATTCGACCATCTTCTTGTCACCGCATTCGAGAGCCTCGTGCAATGGTGTATTGCCCAATTTGTTCTGGACATCGAGCCGCAAAATTCAATTGTTTTTGTCGCAGAATTCGAATAACATTTTCGCCAAACCTCCGTCGTCGACTCTCTCGCAAATATAGTGTAGAGGAGTCGAACCCTCGTGATCGATGAAATTCGGATTGGCGCTTCGTTTCAGCAGCAATGCGACGAGCTTCTTATTTCTGTATTTCACAGCCAAGTGCAGCGGCGTCCTACCCGACTTGTCCCTGAAATTGACCGGCACCATATGCCGCAGGTCGTCGCAGATCTTGAAAAAAAACTTGGCCAAGTCAACGTGATCATCATCGGTATGCATGGAAAAATTGTGCAGAGGAGTCTGTCCCGCCTTGTTAGCTAAATTTGATTTGGCTCCCCTCCTCAATAGCAACTCGATGACCTTCGATGTGTCGTCGTAATTAACTGCCGCAGCAAAGTGTAGCGGCGAATCACCTGTATGATGCACGAGGAGATTGGGATCCTGGCCAAGGTCGAGGAATTTCTTCACCACGTCGTCCAAGCCAAACTCGCAAGCCAGATGAAAATGAGTAATACCGTATTCACAGCTGAAATTCACGTCAAATCTGTCGTATATTTCGAAAAGGTCACGAATCACGTTCAACCCGGATGCAGCTGCGATGTGCATTGCTGTGACGCGACGAGATATTGGCTCGCCTGCCTCGTCGAGTTTCGGCTCGTCCCTGAAGCCTGTTCGAGCTACAAACTTGATAAATCGTTGCAGTTTAAGAGGATCTTTCGTATTTTTGGTAGCCTCCATGAGAAGCCAGTCAATTTCTTCGGCACGGAAAATTTCTAGAAGATTCGGAAGCTGTACCTTCCAGTCGCTCGTCAAGTGAAAAAGTCGAAGGAGAAGATCACGTCGCTCCTTTACTAAATTCCAATCGACCGCGGCTCGCATCTCTTTTAATTTTTTTAATTGGGACATTGTTCGGCACACTCACACACGCGACACTTGTATTGTAAAATAGTTTCCAATTTTTTTCACGAAAAAACCACAGGCCACAATCGGAGCGATATACCTTTGATGTTCAGTCGGTGAAGTTGTAACGTGTACTGACTATATAATTTGTACTCGACACTATAGAAAGAAAAAAACACATGGTCGAAGGTGAAATAGGCTATGTACAGCGGCGATTGAAAAATGAAAGTCCAAAGTGGGAGGAGCCTCTCGTATGCGTATAATGTATGTGAAAGTAGCACATTGCTGGACAAAGGAGTCGTCCAAACTTCTACAATACAGCAGTGCGATCGGAGTGGGTATTCGATTGTTATAGCTTCGATAACTTCAAAAATAGATTAAAACAATTTCGTAGCGTTTTTTTTTTCAATTAAAAACCGATGACAATTGATTGGCAAAAAGCTTGCACGTAAAAAATTTTGTTTATGAAATGGTTTGGTAATCGAATCATCAATGTAGTTTTTTCCATCTATGTAAACCATCTATGTATCTATGTAAATTTTCTACATCTGGTCACAAATCTCATCTTTAAGCCTGTCACATACCCACGTGAAAATAATATATGAATTTTTCAAGAAAACTATATGAACCCGTGTTTACAGCTCTGAACATGAGGAAGTGACTATCATACATTGATTTGGCGAACCATGGCTTATTTTTAGTATCTTTGTAGTAATTTGTGAAGAAGAGAATACCTTTAAATGTGGCAAGAAGTTGCTGTTTGTTTTCTTGGTTGACTATTTTTGTAATTTCTTCATTCAGGTCTGTGTGGTGCAAGTCAAATAACAGTTGTGTTCCTGTATCCGCTGCTTCCTTTGCCAATGTGTCGACTGCTTCATTGTATGTTATTTTGACATGCACTGGGATCCGCATTAGCCTGATGTTTATGCCCTTGTTCTTTACCAGGAAGAGTAGTGATATAACATCCAGGATAATATAAGAGGTGTCTGTGTTTTTATAGGAGAGTAGTTGTCAATGTCTGTCAAAGCGCTCAGAGAGTCTGTGTAGATGACAGCTTCTTCGATGTTATTGGATAGAATGTATCCTATAGCCATGAGAATTGCTAATGATTCTGCTGTAAATATCGAAGCTTTGTTATCTATTTTGTATTGTTGGTGAGAGTTGAATTGTGGGCATAGCATTGCTAGACCCACGTCCTCTGCACCTTCCTTTTTTGATCCATCAGTGTAAATGCTAATGTAATTTTCAGATTTATTTTTTGTGAGGCGTTCAAATGCTTCTTGAGGGTTATTTGACTTTTTTATTATTTTGCCTATTGAAGTGTCTACTGATGGTTTGGATGTTAGTGTTGTGTAATTGTATTCGTATGGTAGTGGCGTGAATTATTTTCTAAGAGAGATGTGCTGCATAGTTTAATATTGGTAAAAAAAAGGAGCCTCTTTTTTTTTTTAAATTTATTTATTCAAGTGATATGGAAAATACATAGGATTAATTACTCTAGACATTGTAAAAAATACTGCCAAATGTACTCACTAACATCAGGAGCTTTGGCCCACAGCCGCCAAGCAAATATTAAGTAAATCTTCGTTGATCAAATTATCGATGATCATCTCACAGTAGAGAATCGGCAGTCCATATTGCGTTAACTCCATAAAAGGTTCCAGGGCCCGTCGTCGGAAAAATTTTCTCGGCATCATTTCGCGTATATGCAGCTCGCAGCTACCACGATACTTACCTCGATAATCTATTTCCTGCGAAGACTTGAAGTATTCGAGACACGTGACTCGTTTCGTCGCCTCTCTGGCTGGTAAATTGACCAAGTCCCAGAACGACAGGTCTGGCTTGATCATTATTTTTTTCTCTTCGGTCAGGAACTCTTCTTTGGCGCACAAATATCGCTGAAGATCCGGCGTTTTCAAGAGCAAGCTGTGCTCGGCGAAAAGTTTCATGACGACCAAGGCGTCGCTTCGGTCCAATTCGTATCCTGCCTTCTCGAGGCGTTCGACGACGGCCGCGATGGCATCCGTTCGTAACTCTATCGTTTCGGTACCGAATTCATTGTCATCGTTTTCGTACGGGTTTTCGATTGGGATCGACCCGGCCGAGCTCGAGAAATCTTCTCAAGGCCGTCGTACAGGAGTAGACGCAGGCCACGTGCAGATGAGTCATCCCGAGCTCGTCGACGTAGTTCAGATCGAATCTGTGGTAGATCTTGAACAGCTGGCGGACCGTGCGACGGACTCCTCCGCGCGATCGTCTGGCCGCGCAGCGATGCAGCGGCCTGGTGCGACGCAAAATCGTCTCGCCGTCCGCGTCCAGCTTGGGCGCGTCCCTGTAGCCGCTGCGAGCCACAAACTCTACTCGATCAGACTCGGTAGTCGGCCCTTCCACTCGGCGAACAAGCTCACGAGACGACGGATAAATTCGCGTCGCCTCGCTTTGCTCCGCCAATCGACGGTTTTTCGCAAGCTCTTCAATGCTTTTTTTTTCGTCGGTCGTTGAGACTCGGATGGTCGGATTTTCCAACGTTTATGATCATTTTTTTAATGCTGATGTAACAACGCATGATCGGTTGCGTTATTTAAGATTTTCACTTCACTGAATTATCACTCGCGTCGTTGATCACGATGTCGCAGGTCGTCAACTCGTACACTGGGCCTCGTGTTGGGCGTGCAACAAACTTTTGGTTAAATGGATAGAGAAAGCAGTGCCACGTGCATTCGTCTCGGCTTTCGGGGACTTATATTGAAGTGGCTGTACAGACGACGACTGCTGGAGTGCTGCGCCGGGCGTTGACGCAGGCGTGCGGAGCGACTTGAATGACTTGCGCACAGGTGGCCCAAAAACAGGCCCACATTCTTTAAGTGAGAGCGAGCGAGTGAGGTGGTTTACACGTGGGCAGACTTGCAGTTCAGCATGGGCAGCATAGACCGGCAGATACGGTGACCGATGAGCACACTTTAGTATAGTTGGTTCTGAGTTTAGTTCTGAGGCATCTATAAGCGCGTTAGGGGGCTTAAAAGATAGGTCTTGAAATGCTTTTAATTATCAGTTGTATTTGGAAAATGTTTCAGTATTTTGTGAATGTCCTCAAAATATAAAGAATGTGGTCATTAGACGGATGAAAGCAAAAAAAATACAAAAAATTTGAATATTTCAAATGCCGCTATACGGAGCTAGGATGCAATATTCCGGTCGAAATCTACGTGATTTGATAGCTTATTACATACGAAAAAATACCCTGAAGTTTAGGAAAAATTTGTAATTCTCCGAGTGAACCTCGGCTATTAGAAAACTAGAAAAATTGCGATTTTTTCCATTTTTTAGCAGTATTCAAATGGTTCTACAGCAGTTAATTTTGAAGTTTTAGAGTATGATCTGACTTGGCAGTCTTTACAGTGCGCCATTGATATTCACTTAATTATATAGAAAAATGTATCGGTTCTAAATTAAGAGGATTAAGATTTTCTAAACTGTCTTCATAATCTGTGTAAGTTAGTCACCGCTAGGTGGCGTCGACGCAGATCGTCGCTCGCGCACCAGAAAAATACTAGCTCTGAGCATATAGGAGAGCTCGATCCGTCGGCACATTGTAATTTTAACGAAAGCCTATGTGTGTTTGGACTCGGTGTGTCCGAAGGCAATCTATAGAATTTAGATTGAGGACCGCGAGTATGACTCGATGGTAAAAGCGAATTTTGAAATTTAACATTATATTCTTGTATACGACTTTATTCACTCATTTATACTAAATATTGAACCAAACATTGACTAGACTTTCTTAATTAAATAAAAACTATATATTTTTGTAAAATAAAAATTCTTGTTAATGATCATTTAATCAATCCTCTCCACCACTGCAAATTCAGCAACTTAGAAAAGGTTTTATTGTTTTTGACCTTCCAAAAAAAAACAATCTGATTCCTCATCTTGGTTTTCATAATCTGATTCCTCTTTTTGGTTTTTATAATCTGATTCCCCCTCTTGGTTTTTGATAATTTGAAACTGGCGATGAGTAATTATCATCAGAAATGATATTTGGATCTACGCGTATGCAAATCCTTTTTTTGTTTCTTAATTTTTATCCAAGCATACGCCAAGCCTTGTTTTTTGTTACTTCATTTTTATCTGAGCTTACTTTTTCATTTTCTTAAATATTTTATTATTACAAGATATACTATATAATAATCACTTTTTTACATAAAACATCAAACAAATTTGGTCATTATTTGAAGTTAAGGCATCGATGTAGTCAAGGTATGATAAGCCCTCTCTCACTTCCCACTTTTTACTTGAAATTCTATAACACATAGAATAATAATGACGCATTGATGAGTCTAATAAATAAGTCCTCTAAGTACAAATACATTTTCTTGAAAAGTAATACAAGTTTTTAACTTGTTAATGTCCTTTATCGTAGTTTAAAAAATATTTTCTATGTCAACTATCAATACGTTATTGATTGCAATCATTTGAGCATCCGTCTTATTTTTACAAACTCAACAATTAATCAAATTATCTGAACCAAAAAAAACTGAGATATTTCATGATTCACTGCAGAGCTCAGTAAATTTGTCTTATTGTCATTTTCAAATGTGGTTATATAATGAAAATGTTGAAATCGTGTCCGATTGCAACTCAAGTTTTGACACGTAACTCTTTTCTGTAAAATAAATTCGTTGCTCATCATCTTTTCTAAGATTAAAGAGATGCTTGTTGTACAGTCCACATAGTCAGGATAACGAGCCATTTGAATATTGCTGTAAAGAAGCAGTAAAAATTAATTTAAAAACCTTCAAGCGACTGGCGGCACAGGTTATATCAATTTATACGAGCTAAAATTTTGCACAGACTATTATTTTGGTATATAGATCACTTTTCCATTTAGTCCAAGCAAAATGAAAAAAATTTTTTTTGCTTCCAGTCAAATATATATCATGTATATACTGTCGCGTGGGACGACGAGGCCCCACCAGTGACGCGGCGCGCGACAATGAGGGCGATGA